CCTAACAAAACATAATCCCACGGAACAACTGGAAAGCCTCTCATTTGGACGAATTCTTAACTTACTTATTTTCAACTGTATTATTCTCTAATCCCTACCCTTATTTGATTTTAAACACCACTCATTGACACTGTTGCCAACCTGACCTAATCTGAATTCTACTCTACTGTATTACGTCATCCAATTCACTTAATCAATTCTATTTCATTTTCCATCTTGACGTTTGTCTCCAAGCCAAAAAATACTTATATTACATAATTATCTAAACTTTATAAATCTAATGTACACACACACAAACAAAATTGTATAAATATGCGATTGTACAGCTCAGTGAATGAATTCGCCGAAAAGAGTCTCTTCGCTGAACGCCTTTTCTTTTAAATTCTTTTCCCACAGAAAGAGAGCAGTTAGTGAAAATCAACCACCAGCTGTCTTAACCAAAGCTGATAACTAGTGGTGTAATACAAGGTAGCGTTCTTGGCCCTATTCTATTCCTCTTATTCGCATGCGCTCGACTGCAGATGATGAGAAAGCCAGTCACCAAAATAAACAAGGGAAGCGACGAGCTTATCACTTCTAAGGACCCTTTAGTCGATTACCACCTGCAGCTTGTCCAGAAATACTACATGCAGATGGAAATGAAGACAATCGACAGCACTTCTCTGAAGGCAGAAGTCTTGAATGCTATAGTGGAAGTCAGCTAGGAAAACAGCAGGCTCTGACGGAGCCCATAGACATCAAGGGATATGCTTGGGCCATTAATCGTGAAAATGAAAGCCGGTGGGTAGCCGTAAATCCTGCCAAAGTACTTATGGTGAATATAATTCATGAGTTGTGCTGAGTGCTCAACTTCCAATTAGAACCCCGTACATGAATAATAAGTTAAATAATAAGAATACAGATTCGAAAGAAGTTAAAAGGACTGAATAAAGTAAGCTATGTTTCTAGGAAGCCACTTAGTTAGGCTGCATGGATGACTTCGAGGTTCAACTAGAAAAAAGACGCTGTTGATTTCGTGCAGTCATCTATCCTTCTACATCTTCTCCTTGCCCATGCTTTTGCCTACTCAGCTTGGTAGTCAGGCTGTCTTCGATATCTCGAATTGGTGAAGTGAGAATAAAATGTATACGGCTGCTCAAGGATGTCTCTATCAGCGATTATGTGAAGAGAATATAGGGATGCACAATCCCACCGAGGCACAGAGACCACGCCCTTGTGCAATGAAAGTCCAGCTGTCTGCAATGTGATTCAGTAAGCACAGATAAACAAACTTATCTCGGTTTAGTTGTGTCTTTTTAGCTGGTTGATTTAATTGCAGAGCCTTTATTGTCCTTCTGGAACACAGCTAAACCGAAATCATACACTTGCGCTGGAAGTCTTCTCCATTTTTTCAAAACAGACTGATCATTGAAGGTGAAATAGCCGGCGTTCAGCCGAGTTGCCTGTATTCTTTGACACTCTGTAACAACAGAAAGCAAGACACAGAAGCCAATGTACATTTTCAAATGATCAAACCGTTATTTATATCTATGCAGTTTATATTCTTTAATCAATAACCGAGCATGTGATTTCGGATTACATTAAACGGCGTGAAATATAATGTTCGAATACAAATAGTATTCTGTTACTAATGCAGTATTGAACTGTGGGAATAGTATTCAGACGTAAACACCAACAAATTCAATGATTCCTAATGTGAGAATAATATTTTGTTGTAACATATTGTCTGTATCACACCAACATAACTCCATAAAGGAATATCCTAACGGTGAGTCACTGAGCATATATTTAGTTGGGGAGGACGTAGATAGTCAGACGAATATGCTACATAGTAAGATTTTCGAATTTTGATATCGCTGACTGTTAACAGGCATTTAAATCATAGGTTGAAGTGTTATAATGCATAATAAGGTGGCAGTAGTGTACGTGGGTAGAGATTTTAGAGGATCAAATAAGTTCGTCAACTCGAATGAATCTGTGATATCTCACTCTCAACGATCAATCTGTTTCTCCGTCTGGGGTGAAAGACGTGGTGGTCAGTATAATTTCGGAGGGGCAATAGGTCGGCATTTTCGTCATGGTGTGATTATCTACGTGTACATTGTCTTCAAATCATCATCAGTAAAAACACCTTTCAGCAGCGGCGTAAGTGTTGTATTCCTTTGTTAGCTGGGGCGGTTTAAGAGCAGCATGGCCACCAGGCTAGGTGGGATAGGCCAAATAGTCAGCAGGTAGTGTGGCTAGCGCTCAGGTCTAGCAGGACTGATAGCTGCACATCAATCGTTAGCGTCATACCTAGTTGAAACCAACTGAAGACGAATTCAAAATCATGCGAGTAGCCAAACTATGTCTGGAAGATAATCCACTTTCCTTTGAGAAAGACAATCGATAAATGCAGTGTATTGGAGTAACAGGATAGTATATTATTAACGAAGACAGAAATTTATTTTCCGTATGCCAAATCATGAAGTTATTTTCTTTTTCGACCATGCTATTAACACAGATTAAAAGTCTAGGAAATCAAATCTACAGAGATACGTGACAAGAATCATTACCCAAATTACAGCGGCCAGTTTTCAGAATTTAGTTTCATGTAATGAGTGCACTGATTATCTGCATATGGGCTCATTAAATAAGACGTTTAAAGACGGCAGTATTCAGTTGAAAATTTTATTTTTATCTACAGCTTAGATGAGGCATCCTGGACTGTGGGCACTAGTTTCGATGAGCAATGAGGAAATGCCGAAAAAATACGACCGAACAAATAGGATTAGGGTACTACGAAGAAAAAATCAGATTTTGAAAAGGATAGAACATTTGGTCATTAAAAAACATTCAGGGATTAATTTATTGATAACCATGCACTCGAAATGAACCCCATGACACTTTCTTAGCATTAGAAACCATGGATATAAGAAAAGTACATGTTTGGAAGTGTAAATAGTGGCGTAGACAGCTTTTGACGCCAAGTAAGTTCGCGAATATTGTTGCAGTCAATTCATAAAGCATATGTTAGAGAAGCGTCAAGCAAGTACATTGGCCTCCTTCAAAAAGGTGCTTAATGACAAACTACAAGAGTTTGCAAACGATATTAGTTCTAGTTCCTATCTGAGAGCCTCCGAAATTATAGGTCCATTTAATGTATAAGCTTAAATACTACACCTGTTGTTTTTTGCCTATATTTATAATTCTAGATAAAACATTAACGGTTAACATACGTATCCTCAAACAGACAACAAATCTCGTTTGTAAAACTACTACCCAACACAATAAGTGGAATAAAATGGACATAAACCGACAACATGAAAAAGGTATAACTCACCACAACATCACAAGGACAGATGAACGCTCGTTGGGTACCATATATCCCTCACCAACTGCAACCCACCTTTCCTTAGATAATGTGATGAACTTATACCCATAATGTTGCTGAGCAGTTAATATTCTCAACTCCTGTCGGAACAGCTGAAACTCATAAACCTTCCTAACGCTAAGAAAATACCCGTAATCAGTAGAAATCCATTAATTAATGCGTCCGAAGCTTATGTACTTACTCCCAACAATGACATTGCAGATCAAATGAGATAAACACATCACTGATTTCAAAATAACACATCAATGAACTATAATTCGAGGACTCTGCACACAACAAAGTTATGTATGAATATTTACTTCAAGCTTTATTTTTTTCCCAGGCACTTATAATCCATCCACCAAAGACCTGGTTTTTTTGTTAATGCGAAGACAATACTCCTGTATTTCCTGTTGTGTTGCACTCACTGACAATCTAGCAGATTTTTCCAACTTTGCACAGAAATGATTATATATAAGTGAAAAGGCTGTTTTATACTACTGGAATTAACATTTATCAAGTGTATGTATAATCTCTATCGAACATGTAAAGCATATCTTGCTACTGGCTGTAAATTGTGATTAAATTATATGGTTCTATTTCTGTAACAATTTGATGATGCCTGTAAACTGGCGTCCCTCATGTACTGTACTATGAGAATAAATTTATTTATTTATTTATTTATTTATTTATCATAGGTTTTCCTGAGTGAGCGACTGAACTTTATGCTTGAAGAGTGATTACTGCAGGTCACAAAGTCTGTAATTCAGTACGTTAAGATTCTCAACTATCAGTCTACTTGGCATGCTGCAGCATCACAAGCTTCAACCTATGGATCAGAAAAGTCCGTGCTATTGTTCTGTGATAGGCGTTGTTGGCTACTGCTGGGCCCTCAAGCACGATGCTAAAAACTCAGCCTGCAGAATCTGAAATTAAGTGACGCCATCACAATTCTTCAGGGCTGTGATTCATTAAATGGTTATTACTCACAAATGCATTTCATTAACGCTTTTTGATTTGATGGACGTTTCAGGTATCTCAGCTTATTTTCAGTGTTTCCAAATAAAGTTTCAGCTTTGATTTACATTGCAGCCTCTACTATTCTGCAAATATTTGGGATACCTCATTCAGTATATTATTACTCGAGACGTGGAGTTTTCATCTTCAACTTTTAAGACTGAGTCTTATCATGATATGAGAAGTCTTAGGGAATGACCACGAATATTACCCAGAATCTCCCTTCTTTCTCATTAGATCAAATAAGCTAACGGTCGTAGAGAACACAAGGCAAGGAAGTGCAGCGTCGCTATGGGGGATTGAGTCGTTAACCCTCGGAACCAAATCCACAAAGAAATGGTGTACGAGCCTTAAGTAGACTCACTATTCAAGGGAGTAAGCAGAAGATTAATATAAGCTCCACAATTCATACAACCGAACAAAAATTTGAAATTTGTGAATTTTCTCCAACTAGTTGCACGCACTGATTTATGTATTAAAACAGTTAAATATGAACGGATTTTCGATTTTAATACAATCTGACCGTGAGCTTATTCGTTTTGAGATTTCAGAGTTTTCTAGGTTATCATTCTTCAAATTCACTGTACTGTTTAGTGCTAAGGTTGTCGCACTTTTAAATATTTCACCTTAGTGGGTGTACCTTCCGATTATTAGTCGTTCTAATTTCGTTACTTTGTTTCGCTTTATTTTATTCAATAAAGCAGAACGTAATAATTGTATAAACACCAAGATACAGGTGCGAATTATATAGTATGATACTAATACCTGTTTATGATGCATCTGAGTGCTTTCCGGATGGTTTTTATGCATTTTCACGGTTATATATTGTTAAGTGGCACTATATAAGGTTCTTATTATTTGTTTTAAATTAGTCCAAAAATAAAATACCCGAATAATAGTGTGATTGAGTCGGCTTAAGATAATCTAACAATTAAAAGAGGTGGTGAAATAATGCACTTCAAACGTATGAATGCAAAGTCATTTATGTAGAAAATGTACCATCAAGTCAATCTTGTGTGTATTTTGATACGTCTATGTGACTACACCTGACCACCGAAATCCTCGCGTGCGCTGCGAACGCTTTGGGCAGTACTTGAGATTTGTACGTTTGTTTCTGTTACTTCGAAAGTTTTGAACTTATTTCTTTTAAAATTAGGGAGATAGTATATATATCACATAGGAATCATAAGATACCATATAAATACAGTCAGTTTCCAAAATATTTTGGCGCAGTGAAACGCATTAACAACTTCGGTTAAACATGTCCTACATCCCGAGTTGCGTCCAAAATTTTCCGTGGCTGCCCAGAATGTATTCGTTGTTGCTCACTTGGTAGTAGCACATTAGTTTATTCTTCTCATGTTTTGCATGGCCCAGGTGTCGCTCATTAAAAGTGTGATGGACTTATCAGTTGATTTATACTTATTTACAAATACTTGCATTTGTAAAAGTTATAAGTGTTTTTGGTTTGTTTCTTTAGCTTCTATGTATTGTGATCTATGGGTTTTCCTTACCACCAGTATACTTTCAGAATCTGTTTCTTAATTTCATCATTGACTCTAGTTATCGTCACCTAGATAATCGAAAATTTATCCAGGTTCACGAAATAAGAGGGAAAAATGTACTGCTTTAAAAGGATCATGTGGCATTGTACCAGCACTGTATTAGTGAAAAAACACGAGCGCTAGTTCCATTAGTTTATAATAGTAGTACTTACATACAGTTCGTCTATTACAGTGTGAGCTTCATGTTAAAACTGTGTTTAGACTACAGGTACCGTAGCTTGAAGCCAGGATGTTGCACTTCACTATTTGTAATCTCTGATAATCGAGATTCACTTTTAGTTTTGCTTAGTCCTTCATTTTATTGGCGTCAGTGTCTATCTATGACACTGAAGGGGGCATTTCTGAAAGAACACAAATATGCTTGACTTGGCGATCAACTATTGGGCCCCAGGTTGGATTCCCACTGCTTCAGCATGGACGACTGAGTTTGTGAATAACTGAAATGTGTTATACAAATCAAACTATAAGCCTCCTCATCGAGTAATTTTACATGAGATGGTTAGGATATGTGTTACGCATCACCAGCCATCGCCTTTCTCGATGGATAATGTTAGATGACTTAGGATCGGGTTGAAAAAGAGCTAGTGATGGTCAAACTAAAACATGACTTCATCAACCAATGAAATCCACAACAGTCACTTTAAGCTAGCGACGTAGGGAGGTGTAGACTTCCTGGTTAGGGTCCTCTGAATGACAAGAACCAATGGCGGCTGGAAACAATCGGTGATATGGCTCAAAACCGTTCTCAATGGCTGGCGCAGATGCATTCACTCTTTGTGGTTTATCATATCCAATAAAAATCTACTGTTCTTCCACATTACTCTTCTTTTACCCTTACACTTCTGTTTATTATCTCTCTTTTGAGTATCTCTTTGGTCTCTTCTCTTGCTTTATGTGATTTTCCAGTGAGATGAAATAGGATTAGGTTGAAAAAGAGTTAGGGGTAGTCACATCAAAACGTGGTATCATCCCAAGGAGTCTTTGACTGTTGGTTTGGGTCACGTAGAAGTATGAAGACTGGTTCAGACATTCGAAACTCTTAGGATCGGTGGCTGGAGACTGTTGAAAGTCGCTCTCAATCGCTCAGGAACCCCAGTAAAATTGTTCACTGAATGGAATCCAATTTACCTTAAAATGCGAGTATTAGTCTGTAAGCCACATCAGCTTTCTAGCGCCTAAAACAAGTAGTTTTAAAACTTTACATAATAATTAGTCCCATCAAGTCATAAGTTCAAAATATTGGCTAATTAATGTTGTCTGCAATAATTGATCTGATTGAAGATTCAAATAGAAAGGTAAGGCATTAAGCTAACGAAATCAATACTTACAATTTTATGTTTTGAAAAGAAATTATCATTACACTTTGGTGGGTTGGATTATAGGAAATCAGTTAGCTGAAAGAGGATTCAAGAGATTTAATGACTAATGCAGAACAATCTCTCCAAAAAGAAAAGTATAAAAAATACTGAATATTGTAAAAGTAAATGTAGAAATATCAAATAAATAAGACGGCTAAAATCCACTCATCAAATAACAGGAATAAGAACAGGTAATTAAGCTAAATCAAAATTTCACACCAACCTCATTATCTTGATAAATCTAATCTGATTGACTGTAACAACTTTTTCAAAAGTAAAAAAGGATGGATTAAGACCCATTATATTATTATTGTTTTCTTTAGTTCATAGAGGAACATAGGGCTTCAACCGCACGTCTCCATTGCGTTCGGTTCTCTGTCAACGTTTTCACCTGCCTTCACGTCTGCCCACATGCTTTCATCTCCTCTTCACATCACCTCCTACATGTCACCCTCGCACCGACCACCAACTCGCCACTTCCCATTAGGGTTCCACTCTAGCGATAGCCTGTCGTGTGATGTCACTTGATGGTTTGTTTTCTCAGAGTATGGCCAATCCACCTCCATTTTTTCCTGCATATTTGTTGCACGATTGGTTCCTGCTGAGTGCTTTTGACCTCCACACAGACTTGAGAGTAATGAAAGCTTGCCTTACTTTCCCGATTCTCGCTTTGATATCCTCATTAGTTCCGTCCGCCTGTTGTTGGAACGATGCTTCCCAGGTAGGTAGGTGAAGGAGGCTGCTTCTTACAGATTCCTCCCATTTATGCTGGCTGACTTTTGTCTGTTGTTGTTGCTGTGGCTGTTGCTGTTGGCCAGGAGTCTTCATCACCTCTAGTTTCTCTATATGCATCTGAAGGAAGGCCTATCTTCTCTGGATGCTTCTTCTGCCAACTTGTTGCTTTTCACTTGCAAGTCTTCCAGATTGCGGGAAATCAGATATATATCATCGGCGAAGTCCAAATCCTCCAAGATTTTTGTGTGGGTCCATTTTATACCTGTTTCCTCGCTGCCCTCTGTCTATCGCATTATCCATTAAGACCCATGACTAACGCAAATATAACATACAACACTTAAAATATCTAGTATTATATTGAGACTAGTTGAAGTGGATGAATATAAATGGTATTTTAGTAAATTGTGTACTTGATTTATTGGATCTAGTTCTTCAAAAAAGCACTTCAAAAAGTTTTCCGTACACTTAATATGAATCAAACAAAGTTGAACACATTTGTGTCATGTGGACTCCTCCTGTAATCTCATTGGTTGACAATTTAGTCTCTTGCATCTTTAAAACGTGATCATCATAAATTTCATACAAATTACATAAATGTTTGCTTTCGATTTCCAACAGTCACGTGGTCCTAGCACAGCTGTTTTCTAATAGCGTACCTACATTTGTATCATGGTACTGTTAGTAGATTTTGCATGAAGTTCAGTTGTGTCTTTTGAAAATCAAGGGCTTGAGACCAAGACTGACTGACTGGTTTCAACATAGAACTTTGCACCGATGTGCAGAAGTTCCGTCGCCACACTTCACTCAGCGCACAAAGCCAGAGAAGAAAGTAAAAAGAAATGCAAACCAGAAACAGTAAACACAGATATAAGGCAAAAAATAGTAATGTCGAAGAACAATATAGTTTTATTGGATATTATAAATCACAAGGAGTGGATGCATCTGCGCCAGCCATTGAGAATGATTTTCAGCCATATCATCAATTACCTCCAGCCTTCATTGGGATTTTACCGTCCCGAGGACCCCAACCAGTCTGGTAGTCTACACCTTCCTACGTGACTGGCTTAAACTAACTGTTGTGGATTTCATTGACTGATGAAGCCATGTTTTGGTTTGACCACCACTAGCTAAGTCTTTTCCACCCTGAGACCAAGAGTTATGACGTGCTCCTAACACCGTTTTAAGATTGCTTGAATTCTCATTCCTGACATTGCATATACATATTGCCAGCAGGAAACATAGGCTCATGGTTTTCTGTCGATTTCCTCCAACTATTCAACATTGTAGTAGCACAAAAATACTGACAGTTTACGCGATATTTTCTACTGAATGGCATAGGTAACTAAATATGCTTAAGATAATAGCGAATGGTCATCAATCAGAAGACGTTGTATAGATCTGTCAAAGTACGCATTTTACTCATTAAGTAGGTCACATTTAAACCTCACTTCATCACTGTAAGTTTGAGTTTGAATTCAGTTTGACTTCTAGACCATTACAACTTATTGTAGGTGGTTGCTAAGTAACACCAGTGGTAATTTATTCAGAGGAAGGTGATGTAAATCGCTAATCTTTATGGTAAGATTTTTCATTGAAGTAATTGAACGAATTCTCACTCATTAACTATCGTTCATCTTTTTCTCATAGTAAAGACAAATAGAAGTAATTACTTTTTCACTCATTTTATAGGTTTTTCCAAAAGTATTTCGGTATGCTATAAAGGATTGCATTTACACCTATGGGAGGGACATCTACTAAAATAGCATTCGAGGTGTGTGTTGTCAGCGGTGATTACAGTGGTGATGAACTTGGTCCTGGAGTCAATATGGTTATGTTTGACCACTGTGGGAATCAGTCACCGACAATTACACTGGATAATATTTTTCAAAATGACATCGACTATACACAAGCAAAGTTTACAATAGATTTACAGTCTTGGAGTCGTTTAAAAGTAGGTCATTATTGGTATCTAGGCAACTGTTGTAAACACTATAGGTGTTCAAACGATTGCATCATATTGAATTTTGGTGTACAACTCAGTCGTTTCCTCCGCCTGCTTGGTTTCTGGATAGAGTGATTATCCGGGATAGAAGGTTTGGTATGACTGCTGAATGGAAGTATTTCTTCTTTCCTGTTCATCAATGGATCAGTCCTGATCATCAATATGTTGTACACGACTGTGAAGCTTGGATTCCTCAGTATGAACCATTTATGGAGTTGAGAGAAGAGGAAGTTAGTAGGCGTATGCAATTCTTCACCTTCTTTCAACGTGCTAAAGGTCTACCTGTTGAGGTGAGCTAATTTAGAGAAACTAATCATACATTTTGTTACTAGTTACAAGAGATCCCGTCTTCAGAGTTATTCTCATCGGATACTAGGGTAAGCACAATACTTGTGAACCTGTTTAATAGTTTTTGTAGTGGGATATTGAACCTTTGGTTCTTGAAGTCATTGAGCGTACTGGTCTGGCTGAAGAATATACGAGTGAACAACCGTGGAGTTCTCTTGATACGCTTGGGAATTTCTATAAGAAATATAATATCACTGAACCTGTGGTAAGTTGTTTTTTAGTTGTGTGCAGATTCAGCGACTCAGTATTTTGTTCGAACATAAGAGACTGTCAGTCATAGTGTCAACAGTTTGTATATGAAAACAAGCATCTGAAGGTTAGATAAGAAGAAGACTTGACATATAGGTTCCTGAAAAAATTAACAGGAGTTATTAAATTGAATGTTAACACTGCTTAGTAATCATGCATTTTCCGAGGTTCCGGCGCGAAATCATGACCATTGAAGTACACTGATTAAAGTGTAGATGCAGTTACCTGCTGCATAACATGAGATCATTCTGTCCCTGTATCGTGCTGTTTACAAATTACGCTGGGATGAAACAACACTTTTCTTTCAAAGACGACAATTTAAGAGGACTTGTGTTTTATTTGGATAGAAAGACCAATATTTTATAAAAATTTACAGTGAATGTTTCGACTGTTGAGCACATTTTGGTGATTGTCACATGTAGCACAACATTATGAGTTTTATTGGATATCAGGGTGTAGGGTAGATAGATAGATAACCTTTATTTTGATGTCTTTGATGATATTTTCAGGAGTTAGTTTGTAGGGATTCCATTTGTTTTGAAGTTTGACCACGAATTGGTACCAGTTAGAGAACCACTGAAAACCAATAGGTAGTACTGGACAGCTGTTTCGTCTTAGTGCTTAGGAGTCATCATCAGTATGCACACGGCGGGTTCGAACCCAGTACCTTCCGGTTACGAGACGAACAAGCTCGTAGACCATTGAGCTACTGGGACCTGACTCAATAGCCAGCCGATGAATTCTAACTTACACCAATTCATGATTGTAGCGTAACCGACCATCAGCTAATGTCATCGGTGAGTATTTGTCCTCACTCCCGACCTGGCGGATCCCACTTTTCAGGACTTCCCACTAGAATTCCAGGCAACTCCATTTTGTAGCCAGTCACTAGTGATCGTCAGTTTAATTTTCAAGGGTTTTACTTTGAATGTCTATCAACCAAATATCGAATGACATTAGGAGGAATGTTATCTATCACTATGTGAATTTTAACTTTGAATAACACTTTACAAACTTTTATTTGAATAAGTGAACTTCTGCAGTTAATAAAAGGATATTGATATTCGTATCAGGTAGCTAAAGTATCGTTATGGTTGTTTATTACTTCTCGAAAGAATTCTGATTTGGATAATTTTTTATATGAGTGTACTAATCTGCAGTTAAGCTTTGCTCAAAGTTTTATTTTATTTCCCTCCTAAAACTTGTAAAATACATTGGTTTTCCGTATGTATATACTCAAAACCTAGTAATCTTAATGTTTTTTGGAGAGGGGGTGTTATTTTTTTCAAACATTTATTGTGTACATCTGTAGCGTAATGCTGACTGATAGGAAGCGGCCAAAACTGAAATCAACATTTTAAGTTAGTAGCTGTCTGCAGAGGTAGGTAGAAGTGTTTTCCTTCCTCAAATTTGGATTTAATATACGTTGAGGACAGGAAATAACCCGATTGGCTAATTTATTTAACCTTGAGCCAATTGTCAACCAATCAGAACGATCTATTATTCTTATCTCTTACACATCTATTTCTAATTACCTTCAAATTCTTTTTTATTGTTAATTAGAGTTTACAGTTTTGGATGATGAATGATATCTGCTTTGGTGCACAACGTATTCGTGGATGTAATCCTTACACTATTCAATTATGCCGTACATTACCAAAAAGGCATGTAAAAAATGTTTCCTCTCTCTCTTTTATGCATTTATCTTGTAATTTCATCCCATTTACATAGTGATTTTATTTATTTTTTTTGTTTTTTTATGAGGTGGATGGGAAGTGTGCTTCACTTACTTGTACATGGGATTTTTTTTAATAAGTAGAATGTTTCAAATTGTTAGTTTCATTTCAATTACTTAGTTAGGTCTAGATAGATGAGTTACATTTGTTAGCCTTTTTACACAGCCTCACTCATTCTAATACACAGATTTTTTACTTAACAACGAAGCTGCTTATCATACAGATCACAATGGGATTGTATAATGTACAGGAAGTTTCAGTCGATAAAAGAGAAGACAAGGAACCATTCATACATCACCTCCTTATGACTACAACCAGATCTGTCATGCCACAGTATTATTGTTTACTAGATGATGTTTCAAACATGATTTATTGTTCGGACACTCGCCAACCATGCACTTGGTCCGGGATTCAATCCCCGGCAGACGCACGCATGATATCAATGGTCGACCCACTAAATTTGGGCTACTGATATCAAATGCTGAAAATTCCATACTTGTACCAAAATACTGTGTGGAATCAAGTTATAATAAAAAAAACAAATAATTTTGACTGCATAGTTTCGAGATAGAAAAGTAGGATCATGTGATCGTTGGTCGAGTACTTGTCACTAGTCAGATGTAATTGATAGGTACAACTTTTTCATTTTTGTCTTACTGAGAATTGTATCATAACATCTTGAAGATCCAGGTCTCACTCTCCTCGACGGACAATGCTAGCTGACATAGGATCAAGGTTGGAAAAGAGCTAGTTGGTGGTCAAACTAGAATTTGGAATCAGTGCATAAAATCCTTAACAGTCAGTTTCAACCATACGAGGAGACGTAGGCTTCCTGATCGGGGTCTTCAGGAGGATAACAACCGATGGCTGGAGACAATCGGTCAAAATCGTTCTCAGTGGCACAGATACATTCACCCTGTCACCTCATGTATTTATTGAGCCTTGTTGTTTTTTCATGTTACTATTCTTTTCCCTTCACATTTGTGTTTAATATTGTTGTCCCGAATCTCTTTTCTTCTTCTCTCTTTTGTCTTCCTTTGTGTGGTACATGGATTGTGGTGATTTGAACTTTAGCACTTCTGTGATAAGTCCTATTGTAGTGAGAGATGTCTGCAAGCCAAAATTGTAAACAACAATTTACGTCAGTATTCAAGTGTTGATTTGTAGGGATTTGATTGATTGGTTCCAGGATTTCATCATGAGCTGACATTAGCTAGAGAACCATTGGAAAACCTGGGAGTACTGGACAGCTGTTTCGTCCTAGTTTGGGACTCTTCAGTAGTACGCACCCACTGGGGTTCAAACCCAGGATCCTCTGGTTACAAGGCGAGCTCGTAGACCATTAAGCCCCCGGGACCCTATCCAATGGCCCATGAATTCTAACTTCTGCCAATTCACGAAATAGAGCGACCACCAGAGTCCCAAACTAAGGCTAGACAGCTGTCCAGTACTCCCTAGTTTTCCAATGGTTCTCCAACCAATGTCAGCTCATGATGAAATCCACGTCAATGTTCACGTCCCGAATCAGGGTCATGAGAAAAACTATAATAAAGCTTAACCCTGAGAAAATCACCAGCGAATCACAGCGGAATTAAAGTGTGAATATATGATTCACAGATATATGGTTTTATTATTTGAGAAACGGCCGAAAAGAAATAACACAATAACCTTCAGCAAGGAAAGAACCAATCAGAAGAGGTTGCTTCTCTGCTAACAATAATGCACATAAAAATTTATAAATACCTCTTGATTTTCTCAATAAACCATCTATTGCCTGGCCTTTGTCTTCTGTCGTTACGCTACGTTGAAACCAGTCAGTCAGTCAGATTTCTCGTTAACATGTACGCGAGATTAATAATTTTTTAAATGGGTGATATCTTTGGAGAACCACTTTTGACTTCAACTATACTTCTGTGCAACAAGAATAATTAGTCGATAAGATCCACGTGTCTATAACTTTATCGATTATTCTCTTTGGAAGGTTGACACTTTTCACACATGAAATACTTTAAAATATGTATATATATTTTCAAACTTCTGATGATGTAATTTTTACTTCCTGGGATCGAAGAATAAACTCACTACCTAGTATATGTATGGAAGTAGGTTATATTTAGAAATGTTCTTTTAACAGGTGTTAACACGCAGACCGAAGTAAAGAGGAATTACATATAAAGGTTTTTTTGGGATTATATTTGAACTACTTAAAAGTAGTATCGTTAATAAAACAAGTATATGCCAAATTGATATGGAGAAATAATCGCAAATAGAATGATGCTCATTTTCAAAACTTTAAAATAAAGATTCCTTTACGTTCCCAGTGGAACATAGGGCTTCAAGTTAGAGCTTTAAAGTTTCGGTAGCAGTGCTTACTTTTACGGGATGAGGTTGTTAGCCACATGCCCAACCTTCCCTCTTAACTGGTCTTATTACCAGCTTAACGAGGTAAGGGGGTGCGTCGGCCGGGGTCGAATTCTGGACCACAAGTGCGATTGGCGAGTGTTCTATCGCAAAGCCACCGACGGATATTTTCTAAACTTATCCACCATTAATTCATGTTTATTCTTTTCACGGAGGTGTATTACTTACAATGAAGGCTTAGACAGATGACCAAACATTTCAACTGTTCAAAGCTTAACTGATATCAGTCCGTGATCAACTCGTAAAAACATAACAAACCCTTACAAACCAAACTTTAGAAAATTGTGAAATAAGTCAATGTTGTGTGACGTGATACAGATTGACAGGAAACAGCCAAAACTAAAATCAATATTAAAATCAATGGTTGCAGAGGTAGGAGTTTTGTGGACATAAAATAATGGCAAAGTTCAACAATAGCGTCCCAAGGATGCGACCGCACGAGTGACCTTGAGCTGACCAATCATAAAAATGAGGAACTTTTGCACAAAATTGACGTATATTTACAAGAAGATGCGTGAAAACACATTAAACAGGGTGTCTTTCTCTGAAATGACTTAAAAGCACGTCCCAATTATAATGAGGAGTATCGGTTACTAATTTAGACTAGTTTTTCTACATGTATTCACCGAGTTGACTGAAGATGAGCTGTTTTTGTGAATCGTTTTTCTCTCTTATCCTCATGTGCAGTCTTCCCCGAAAACCCTCGATTGAATTACCATGGTTCGCAGTAAGAGGACAGATGACCACTTATCAAGAAAATGTGGATAATAATACAAATAAAAATAAATGACATCAACTCTAAATCTATCCCTAGTCATAATCCGAACCTTAATCCTGACCCTAACCCTAATTACAATCCTTATCCTAGCCGTTAACCTAACTCTAATCCTAATTATGACCCTGATCCTAACCCTAACCTCTATACTTACCTTAACCCTAATCCTAACCCTAACGAGCTATTAACAAATTGTCCAAACAGTACTTAGAAACGTGATCTGAGTGAAATTTGCCGCTTAATTGGTGAATAGCGTTGATATTTCATTTATGATAATGACAGATGCTGTTAGCCAACGATTAGTATGCGTTCAAGGTCATTGGAGCGTTCGCACTCCTGGAACGCAATAGTTGAACTTCGCCGGAATAACCTCATTGGACAGCCTTGTTTAACCTTGGACCGGGCCAGGTGTCAGCCAATCAGAGCAATTTATTATTCTCCTCTGACTTAACCGAACTTTAATGCGACTAAAAGTGTATAAATATGATGTGTTTTTCCTTATTAAAGGTCTGTTCCCAATTCTACTTCCTTCTCCCGTTACAAATGGATGATATATTTACGTTACCTATTACTCTTTCAATAATTGTATATGTCGATAGTCCTAGAGTGTTGTGTTGTTTTCACAAACTCTCGTAGGTGGTGATGCATGAATACGCGTACATACACGGAGTTTTCTTCTTTTCTACTTATATCTGCTTTCTTCTTCTTGTCAACTTTTTTTTTGTAGTTTCCAGCTAGCCGCAAACTGGTTGAAGCCTCATCTGGAAGGTTGGACACTGCGTCAAATGGTGTCGGCTAATCGTTTGTACATACTTGATTTTCACATAATGGAAGGGCTGAGTTGTAAACGTGGTCGAGAATTGTGTGCACCTTTGGCTATTTTCTTTTATACAGAGAAAAGACAATTGAAACCGATTGCAATTCAGTTGGATCGTAATTCGAATGATACCAGTGCGGTAAGTAATTTCCTTGTACGTAGCTTGTATTCGCCATCAGGTTCTACGCTTATATATGACAGTAATAATTAAAGAAATATTGATCTTAACAACATTGATGCTGTTTCATATTACATTGAATCAGTAGTGTCATTGGATTACACTTTGAGAATCTTCGTATGTTTGGCATGCAATTCGCCCCTGTAAAATGTAAGATGATGCTGCAGGATTGGACTTCACTGACCCCTAGATTAGAAATAGGAAGTGAAGTGGTAGAGCACGTTGACCACTTCACTTACTTGGGAAGTACCATCAGCCCCAACGGGTTGATCTCTGTCAAAATCTCAGCACGAATACAGAGGGCTAGTTTCGTATATGCCAGTTTACGCCGTCTCTGGCGTAGACGTGACATCCGACTATCGACCAAAGGGCGTGTGTACTGCTCAAAAGTCCGCTCCGTCCTCCTTTATGGCTAGCTGTGAGACCTGGCCATTGAGAGCAGAAGACATGAAAAGATTATCTGTGTTCGATCATAGGTGTCTGCGTTCTATCTCCCACGTGAAGTGGTATAATAAGGTGAGCAATATTGAGGTTAGGCTTCGGATGAGTGCTAGGTAAGGAAGGGAAATCAGTCGACGAGGCTGTGAAATTACATCGACTGAGATGGTTAGGACATGTGTTACGTATGCCTAGTCATCGCCTTCCTCGACCGATAGGCAATGCTAGCTGATATAGGGTCAGGCTGGAAAAGAGCTAGCGGCGGTCAAACGAAAACATGGCACCAGTCAATGAAATCCACAACAGTTAGTTTAAGCCAGCCACGTAGGGAGATGTAGACTTCCTGGTTGGGGTCCTCGGGACAGTAAAACACAATGGTTGGAAACGATTGGTGACATGGCTCAAAATCATTCTCAATGGCTGGCGCAGATGCATCCACTCCTTGTGACTTATGATTTCCAATGAAACTATATCGTTCTTCGTTATTACTATTCCTTTGTCTCACACCTTTGTTTACTGTCTATATTATGCATTTCTCCTACTTTCTTCTCTTTCTTGCTTTGTGTGGTACATGGAGTGTGGCGACTTGAACTGCCGCACATATGTGCAAAGTTCTATGTCGAAAACCGACCGACATTTTAAGAAGCGTCAGTAAGAGAGAGAGATAATATGCATCACATATAACACTAAACTGACTGAATATGAGATAAATTGAGGGAAGTAGGTTGGACAACAAACCAGGGTAGCTATTAGAGCTGGCTGGACCTGTTTCTCCTGCATACAGACTTCTGGTTGATTGAAGCAAATTGCAGTGGCCTCTTCTCTTTAAAGTGTTCGATATCTAGAAGCCTTTGGTAATTTATTCGATACCTGACAGATAACAGAGGAAGAGTCTTCTCTGCTGCTAGTCGTATGGGGCTTGCTTGGACGAGGAGACCTAATGTCGAACTGTTGATGATTTTAACATCACTTTTATTTAGCCATACTGGTAGGTGTTCCCGTGCACAAAAAATCAGGTTCCTAGAGTGACAATCACTATAACTGGCTGCACAGGAGCTGTCGAATTGATAGATGCAATAAGAGGTGGTTAACCTACACACATCATCTTTCATTTTCCGAATCACGTCTACCACCTGGTCTTCTCGCTAGTAGGACGTCTACAAAAGGAAATTTTACTTGAAGATTCTTATTCAAACGTGAGTTTGATAGCTGAATACATTTCGTTGAGTTGAGATATTATTGCGTTCCTGTTCAAGTCATTTAGACAAAGGATGAAGGCATCATCCATATTTTTCTTACTCATATACCGTGTTATTTGTCATTGTGCTTTGTGTCTCAGTATCTCCCTGTGAACTTTTTTAAGAGATATTAAGGTCCTATTTTGACAGGGTCTGTGAGGCTGTCTACCTATCTGTATATTGGCAGTTATGGTGTAACGACAAAAGATAGGGGCCAGGCAACAGATCGTTTATTGAGAAAATCAAGAGATATTTGTACATTTTATGTACATTATTACTAGCGTTATTGTTAGCAGAGAAACAACGTCTTCTGATTGGTTGCTTTCTCGCTCAACGTTATTCTGTACTGCTCGTGACCTTTCTTAGGAAGTTTAGCCATATATCTGCGAATCGTATTTGCCCACGTTAAGTCTGATGTGATTGGTTGGTGAGTTTTACGAAGGTTAAGCTTTGTTATTGATTTTTCTCATGATCCCGATTCGGGACGTAAATATTGACGTAAATTGTTGTCTACAATTTTGGCTTGCAGACAGCTCTCACCACAATCGGACTGTCACTTATGATGTCCTTAATGCACCTACACTTTTAAGGGAGATGTGGAGGTTTTATCCCAGCGTCTAACCAGAACAATAAAGTGAATATTCTCAGCAGACATTTGTTTATCTCCTTCGGTAGATGTCGACTGTTCACCTTTAAACTGAAAGACCACTTGCCTATTCTAAGCTCCCCCCTATGTATATACCGTTTTTAAGATCAAGTTACATAAGGCATGCGATTACGCAGGTTCATCGACGGATTTGTAATCATTTACCAACCTTGTTCAAAAAGAGAAAAATTAAATCTCTAAAGGCTTAATTCCCTCCTATGGATGCCTTTAGCTCTGTATACCACGTACAGTCCGTCCACGTTTTCTACATATAATCAACAATCAGATTGACTCAGTTAGAGCACTCTGTGGAAAGAAAGAATACGTTCAGACGTTGTCCCTTTCATTCCCATTATCATTGGGCTAAATATTAACACCTCTAGATGTCTGTCTTCCTCTTTGTCTTTTTCCATTTTGTCTAAGCACTTTTTAACTTTATGTCTCAAAATTGTTGCTGTTCATTCTTGTAGTTTCCAAATTTATATAGCTGCGCAATGTAATTGATTAAAGGGGCAGTAAGTTCAAAAGTTAAACGTATATTCAAGTATTGGTTTGTAGGAATTTGATTGACGGGTTACATGGTTTCATCATGAGCTGACATCGGTTAGGGAACCATTGGAAAACCTGCAGGGAGTACTGGACAGCCGTTTCGTCCTAGTTTGGGACTCTTCACCATTGGATCATTGGGTCGGGTCCCGGTGGCTGAATGGTCTGTAAGCTCGCCTGTAACCGGAAGGTCCTGCGTTCGAGTCACAGTCGGTGGGCACGTATTGCTGAAGATTCCCAAACTAGGAGGAAACAGCTGTGCAGTACTCTCTGGTGGTTTTCTAATGGTTCTCTAACTGATATCAGTTCATCATGAAATCCTGTAACTAAACGTATATTACTAAATTTTCATGCTGGTAAATTTTGCTCCTAATACCCACCAGATAAAACAAGTAGTGCCACTTCAAAAAAAGCTGACTATGCCCATATAATCGTGGTGTTCATTTTTCTTTTGATTTCAGATTATCCTTCCAACTGATCCAGCTTCAATTTGGTTACAAGCAAAATTATGGGTGAATCTGGCCGATGCATGTCATCATATGATTGTTGGCCGTTTGCTAACTCATTTAATATTGGAGTCAGTTTATGTTTCACTACGACGTAATATGTCACAATCACATCCAATTTACCATTTAGTTGCACCACATTTTCGTAGTATATTGCCGGTAACAAGGTAATTATATGCGCAGTGCTTTTGAAGAATTAAAGTTTGGTATAGATGATTCCCTTTGATAAATAAGGTTAAAGAAGTAGGACAAATCAGATTTGTGACACAATATGGTGTCATTTTATTTTAATTCAATTTCGGACCAAAATACTCGGCCTCAGTTGATATGTTGGTTCCTATTTCGGACACTTCCAGAATGTCTGATGACTAAGTCGAAGTAATGCTGTGAGTGGTGACTAGCAGTGGGATCCAGGATGCAAATTTCCTCCTATTTTGGACTCGTCAACTGGATGTACTTGCATTGCCCAATATCCATCGTTTCAAACACCAAGGAGTTATCCACTAGACCACTTGGGCCACGGGAACCACCTCTTGTGCAACAGAAATCAGTTATTATTTATAATCCTCGACCATCGTCGAAGCATCCACCCTGGGAGCCGATATGTCAACAGAGGTCGAACATTTCGGTCCAGCTCAATCAACTGGAAAATCAAAATTGAATTGAAAAACAAGTAATAACTGACATCCACTACAGAAGAGGTGGTTCTCGTGGCTTAAGTGGTCTGGTGGGTAACCCTTTGGTGTTTGAAACGATGGGCGGCGCGCCTGATTCGAGTCTCATTGGGGAATGCAAGTACATCCAGATGGCGAGTCCGAAATAGGACGAAATGCGTCTCCTTTTTGATTCCATCGGTAATCACCCACCATTCACCAATCTACTTCAGTGTGGTGTCAGTTTGTTTCATAAAACAATACAAGAGAAATGAGATATATGCATAAATGAATAAAATGGAGGTTGAAATAATAGCTCAAGAAATGTTAGAATTAAAATTTTTAACTCGAATCACTTCCTCTTTATTTATATTGCATTTTCGAGAATTAAGTAGGGAAAGAAGAGATTCAGGAGTACAATAACTTATATTAGCCTGAGATTGCGTAACATATCAGGAAAAAAAGGTGAAATTCTCAAGATTGAAATCAACTCAGTCAGGTGGAATGAGTAAACAAATGAGTAAAACGAAAAATAGAAAAAAGTTACCAATACGGCATAAGATTACCCACACTTACTTTTTTGTATGAATAAATGTCCGTTTGCTCCTATGGAGTGTGTTAATTTCAGCATTTGGTACACATTGAACAGTTTCAGTAATGATTTCATCACGAGACGGTATCAGTCATTGGAAACCAACGAGCACTGAACAGCTGTTTCGTCCTAGTTTTGGGTTCTTCACAGCGCTCACCAATGAACCCAGCAGGGATTGAACCCAGAGTCATCTTGTCACAAGTTCATCCACGATGTATCTAATGATTGCATCATTCAAATGCTTGCTTCCTCGGAAGCTTAGCTTCATTGTATTTTCAGAAAATAAATGGAAGTCATTCTCTTACCCGTCCCCTCTAGTGTACTTATGGCTACGTTTATTACTATCATTCCATTTGGTTCCGAATGAAACGTAGGGCTTCAATAACACACCTCCATTTCGTCCTGTTCCCCGAAGTCCTCTTCAGTTGGCCCCACCATCGCCTTTAAATCTTTATCTCCTCCTCACACGATCTCTTCCATGTCACTCTTGGACACATACCCAACTCGTCGCTTCCAATTTGGGTTCCACTCAAGGGTTTGTCTAGTGCTCCGCGTCACCCAACGGTTTCCTTAGTGTTTGTCCGATCTGTCTCCATTTCTTTCGGGATATTTGTTGAGCAATACGTTGTTGGAGGGTTTGTTTCCAGAGTTTATTGTTGCTTATTCTTTCTGATCAGTCATTTAATGTTGTGTATTGAGGTAGCAAAGTGGGCAGCTGTTGATATAAATCTAAGACCACTAGTTGGGAATGCTTCTTGTGACAAGTTCACCAGGCTTGTGAATCATATAGAAGAATTGAATATCTGACTTGACGTTGGTGTTGAAAATCCGGATTCTTTTGATTTTTATGCTGAGTGCAGTGCATTAGATTTCAAACTGATTTCAGAATGACGAAGGTCTGTCTTACCCTTCCATTTCTGGTTTTGACATCCTCATCTGTGCAGCCTGTCACTGAAACGAGGCTGCCTGACCAGATAAGTGAGGAAAGTGTCCTCTTTGAAATTTTTCCGTCGATAGTGATGAGTGCTTGTTGCTGTTGTTGTTGTTGGTTGTTTCCATCACCTCCGTCTTCTTTATGTTCATTTGAAGTCTTGTCTTTGCTTCTTCTTCTCCCACCAACTTGTTGGTTCTTGCCTGTAGATCTTCTCGTCGGCGGAGTTCAGATCTCGAGTCAGAAGTAAGAATATTTCTGCAGGTGCATCCTAATTCTTAAACACAATTAAAACGCTCGCTAGTGACTTGCTACAGGATGGAGTTTCCTGGAGTTCTAGTGAGAAGTCGTGACCAGTGAGGTTCAATTAGATGTCACGTGTGTGGATGGATCTCCCGCCAACGACAATGGTTGGGGTCGCGCTAAATCACGAATTGGTAGAAGTAAGAATTCATGGGTTGGCCATTGAATTGGGTCCCAGTGGCTGAATGGTATACGAGCTTGCCTTGTAACCTGAAGGTCCTGGGTTCGAACCCTAGTGGTGGGTGCGTACTACCGATGATTCCCAAACTAGGATAAAACAGCTGTCCAGTACCCCAGTGCTGGTTTTCAATGGTTCTCTAACTGACATCAATCCGTGATCAACTCGTAGAACAATTGAAACGCATTTGCATATCACATAACAGCAATCTGATGGTCTGTTACAAGCTTATGTATTAAGCAATATAATCCATGCTTGATGTTTAAATAAACTTCACATATTGGTTAGAGGATTTCATCATGTGCTGGCATCAGTTAGAGAGAACCACTGGAAAACCTGCAAGGAGTACTGGACAGCTGTTTCGTCAGCCTAGTTTGGGGCTCTGCTTCATCAGTACGCACCCACCTCCAAACAACCAAACAAAAATATTCCTACAAAACCAATACTTGAAAACCTCACATATATTTGATTGCTCCTCTTTGCGCTTATCATTATTATTATTATTACTATTACTATTATTCTTTATCGCACCCCTTAGGTTTTCCTGGGCTACTCAAAAAGACTATATCGTATATAGAAGAGTATTAAAGGTTATCAGCAGAGTAAGTGGTGTTCCACTAAGTCAGCTAGTTTACTACCTGTAGTCGACAGACACTTGAATTCATGCGAGAAATGGGCTAAATCCATATTGTCTGGCTCTCAGAACCACCCCCTCTATTGACCCACCTCTCACCTTCCATCTCATCAAGTAGGATTAGAAGTCAGCATAGGAGATTAAGTGCTCGCAGAAGTAAGTACGAAAATTCAACGATAATCTATTTGGCCTACGTTCTATATAATAGAGGAAGTTTTAAGCGTGAAACTTATAAGTTATTATGTAATTAGTGAAATAAATGCTTCTTTTATCTTCTCTTATATGTAATTTATGGTGGCATCCTAAGTATTGTTTTGCAATAAATTAAATTATTATTAATAGTATTATTCTTTATTTGTATGATTACATATCATCAGTATACGTAAATATATATATTTCTCTTAATTTTGAAGGAAATTAAAAGAATGGACCTTTGAAAATGGTTGGATATCGCGTAACATACAGCTATCACGCAAAGGTATTAAACAGTTATTAAGACGAGCATTTAAGAAATGGCGTTTCGATGTTAATGCAAATATCTATCGTGAATTGGAGTCTAGAGGGGTAAATATAACTTACATTCAATGAATTTTATATCATTTATCTCATAACACTATTTAGTATTATGCTGTTGTTTTCCCTACACTGTTATTTCGTCATATGAAACTTACTTCAATTGATGTTGATGATGTGATAGTGTTGATTAATCAAGTTACTTTATCTAAAGGGCAGTTTGGAATTTCAAGTTTGATCACGGATTGATATCAGTTAGAGAAACATTGAAAACCTCCAGGGAGTACTGGACAGCTGTTTCGTCTTAGGGCTCAGGGCTCTTCAGCAGTACGCACCCACCGACCATGGTTCGAAGCTAGGACTTTCCGGTTACCATTCAGCCACTAGGACCCGATCCAATGGTCAGTTCATGTATTGTAACTTCTATCAAGTCGTGATTTAAGCGCGACTGACTACCAACTAATGTTATCGGCGAGTATTCATTAAAATTAATGTGATGCTCGTTAGTAACTGGCTGCAGAACGAAGTTATCTTGAGTTTTAGTTAGAAGTCGTGACCAGTAAAGTCCATCTGGTCGGCAGTGAGAACAAATACTCGCCAGTGACTTTGACTGGTGGTTGGTCACGCTAAAATCACGAATTTGTAGGAGCTGGAATTCATGAGTCATTCGACCGTGTGTCCCAGTGGGCGAATAGTCTACGAGCTTGCTTTGTGATCTGGAAATTCCTGGGTTCGTACTGACAATGGGCCCCAAACTGGAATGAAACACTAGTCCAGTACTCCCTGGTTTTCAATGGTTCTCTAACTGATAACAATCCGTGATCAACTCGTAAAAAGAAATCTAATCCTTACAAACCAACTATTGAAAATTTCACAGTATTATTATTATTATTAATATTAAAATACAAACTTCCTACATTATGGTCACCAAAAGATACGTTACACAAATTTTCTTAGTTTATTTGAAGGCTGGGATACTACCCGAGCAAACAGACCGAAGCAGGTGGTTGTCTTAAGAAGCCACTCCCCAAGCCTTTGACTTGAAATTCGATCTATGAGCCAGTAGAGCAGCGTCAGGAGTTGCGGTCGCATGACTGGCGGTAATTCAAACAATTTCATATGGCATTCGTTCCTTTCAGATTCTGCAGACGATATACACTCATACGTTTAGAATCAGGGTTTCGTATCTCCACCAGTCCGGTTGAAAACTGCCAAACGTTCTCATTTGCCCTCTTTTTTGTGGGGAACACTCGCGTCGCTTAAAGGCAGTGAAATAAGTCTTACCCTACATAGGCTATAAACACGTGGTCATACGGCAGCATTCGGGGGGGGGGAGGAATCGACGTCCTCTCACCCAGGTCGTTTATGGGGACGTTCACAACCTACTAAACACACATATTATTATTAGGTTAGATATTTATGTCTATTCTGATTGTTTCAGCAGTTTGACTGCTACTTTTCGTAGTAAGTTGTCTTCCTTACTAGATTTTCTTCCGTCAGTACAGTAATATTTATGAAACCTACTTCTATTACCCTCATTTTAAGTAGTCAATAGGATATCAACAAAACAAATTGGGTCTGTTTTGTTTTAATCTGCTACATTTATTGTTGTTACTTCTTTTTTTCAAGTTCACGAAACTTTTCAGCCACTTGTGCTTTGTAATATTTTTAAAATGCAAATATATATATTTCAGGTGTACGATCCCAATGGCCTAGGCAATTATCCATATCGTGAAGACGCCTTACTAATATATCATACATTGGAACAGTTTGTATCTAGTTATGTTCGCCTATTTTATCGTAAGTTTCATATTGTTTACTGGTGGTAGTTCATTTTTGTTTATTTATTCTGTGGTCAGCCAGTGATTATTGATGTGGTATTGTTTGTTTGTATGGGCTAGAGCTACTAGCTTCTAACTAACTGGTCAAAACACAGGACTTTGCACAGACCCGACCGAAAGTTGCTACCTTGAAGTGGTTGTCGGGCTTGCATATCGCAATGTCCCATCAACAAGCTACACTGGCTGGAACTATTGTTCCTGCAGGTCCTACCATGCCAGGAAGGTTGTTAGGACAGCGATTAGACTGAAAGAAGTTACCGGCATAGCGTAAGAATTTTTCTTCACTATGCTTGGGGTCTGTGGGCGAAGTCGTACTGCTGGGGAACAGGGATGTAGCAGCAGTGAGGTGTTTCCCTCAGATGACCAGCATTCCAACTATGCTGTCTCTATCTCTCCACTATGGAGAGAAAGTGTTAGAAAAGGTCGACCCCAACAATTATACATACCGGCTTACCCTACGGCGGTCCGTAACTGGCGGTAAATTTACTAATACGGAACCAATCCAAGAAACCAGTTCATACAGGCTGTGTGTGACCGGCCTCAGGTAGTTGTCCCCCAGGCTCTGCTGTCACGCAACTCTAACCCTCCTTCTATTTAAGGCACTCGAAGAATCAATCAACTTCCACGATGTGGGCAGCCGGGAATTAACAACGACCCACACACTTCCAAGAGCATACGAAGCCTTCCTGAGCATCATTCTCCTTTACCCGCATCACCTTGATCATCTTACTTACCTACTACAGTCAGTCAGTCAGACTTTGCACAGAAGTGCTACAGTTTGAGTTACCACACTCCATGTACCACACAAAGAAAGACAAAAGAGAGAACAAAGGAGATCCGAAAGAACAATAATAGTCAGGAATGTGAAAGGAAAAGAATAGTAACATGGAAAAACAGTAGGGTTTAGTGGATATACACGGTCATGGAGAGTGAATGAATCGACACTACTGACAACGATTTCGAGCCATATCACCAATTGTCTCCAGCCATTAGTTCTTAGAATTCCGAGGACAACAACCAACCAAGCAGTTTACACCTCCCTCACTACCAGCTTAGCGAGATTTAGGAGTGTGTCACCTGGGAATCGAATCCCGTACCCCTCCCATGGTTGCCGAGTGTTCTGCTGCAGAATCACCAGCACAAAAGTTGGAAAACTGCCCGGTATCCGCAACCGGCCAGCCATGTAGGTACTAACCGGGCCCAGCGTTACTTGAACTTCGGTGATCGGGTGAGAACCACCGGTGTTTTCAATATGGTATTGTCGCCTACCGCGTTCACTGAAATCAGCCTTAATTCTCACTTTTATTTGATGTTACTTTTTTTTCTTTTCTAAAAATTGAAGCTGAAGGGGCTGAACAAATAATACACGACAATGAATTACAATCTTGGAGACATGAAATCGCCTGTCCAATGGAGGAAGGTGGTTTGGGTTTAGTTGGAGTTCCTGGTAGTTCAGTTAAAGTGAGTATCTTTCTTATCTAGTGTGCATGTGAATTCTTATACGTGTATATCTTTTTTGGTTATTCGGTGTGGTGCCTGCCTATTCTCTGTTACAAATATAAAGTCGTTAATGGAATGGTCCCATCTTTGTGTTATTTTGTGTGATATCCACCTGGTTAATCTATTATGCTGGATGGACATTATTATTCGTTATTGTTGACAGAGAAGCAACGTCTTCTGATTAGTTGTTTCCTTGCTGAGGGTTATTCTGTCATCTCTTTGTGGCCGTTTCTTAGACAGTTTGGTCGAATATCTGCGAATCGTATTTGCACACGTTAAGTCTGGTGTGATTGGCTACTGAGTTCTTCAAGGTTAAGCTTTGTTATTGCTTTTTTCTCATGACCCCGATTCGGGAGGTAAACATTGACGTAAATTGTTGTCTACAATTTTGGCTTGCGGACAGCTCTTACCACAACATTATTTGGTGAGCCAAGTTTTTATGCCTCATATCCCCACAGATCTATAGTTTTCTTATCGGTTCAGCGTATTCTTGACTTCTTATTCCAGTAAAAGGTGAGAATAATTTTAGGATATTTTATAAAGTAGAAGAAAGTAGTGACACATTATTCGCAGGAGAAGGTACTTTCTTGTACAAGCTTCGTTTTTATACTGTGTTATTTCTTAACTGGAAGCAGAACGGGAGGCCGGCCTCAGGTAAAAGGGACCCCAGAACATTATATCAAATAACCAGGTTTCTATCCGGGAAGAGATCCACCCAGATGATGAAACCAATAGAAGATGCTCAAGGGAACCCGATTTCCAAGGAGGAGAAACAAATAAAAGAATGGGCTGATCACTTTAAAGGATTCTTGAATCGACCGTCATCTGCAACACGCCCAGAAATACACCACCACCAGCAGCACTCTCAGAACTGCCAGTGGACACCGGTCCCCCAGCTAAAGCGAAAATCTTGGACGCGATCAAGCTACTAAAGTCCAGAAAGGCAGCAGGACCAGACGGAATTTCTCCACCCTGAAGCACTGGAAATGGACCCAGAAACTGTGGCATTTTTTTCATGCCATTATCACAAAAGGTTTGGAAGGAAGGAAAAGTACCTACCAGTTGGAAGAAAAGGTGGCTACCTTGTTAAGTTGCCAAAGAAGGGCGACTTACACCTCACTCTGCAAGAGCTGACTGGCGCGGAATAATGTTCTTGTAAATACCAAATAAAATACTAAGTCGTATCATCCTGGAGAGAATAAAAGATGCACTAGATTCAGAACTCCGCCCCACCACCCCGAACAAGCTGGATTCAGGAAAGGTGAATCATGTGCCGATCAAATTGCAACTCTACGCATCATCATCATTACGAAACAAAGCATAGAATGGCAGTCAAATCTCACTCTACGTCAACTTCATCAACTTCGAAAAAGCTTTCGAAAGCGTTGACTGAGAAGTAATTTGGGAATTACTTCAACACTATGGCGTACTTCAAGTGTTTATCAACCTCATTCAATAGCTAGCTATATAACAGTGGCACGTGTCAGCTGATCCACAACGGAAAACTCAGCGAGGCGTTCGAAGTGGGGTGAATACAGGAGTAAAACAATTTGGCTGCCTATCATCATGATATTCTTAATTGTGGTGGACTGGGTTATGCATCAGACTGTGGGGAGCGAGGAGTCAGGAATACGCTGAATAACGGATAATAAGACTCCATAAGATCTGGAAATCCTGCTTCGACAGTATCAGTCCAATGTCACATAGACTCGAACACTTACAGGCGATAGCCAATAGCAACAAAAACCAGCACAAATCATCATCAAAAGGAGAGATTTAACAGAGGTTACCTCCTTCACTTATCTAGGAAACATCGTTTCAACTACAAGCCAGCGGAACTGATGAAGATGTCAAATGTAGCCAGAATCGGAAAGGCAAGATACGCCTTCATCAACCTGAAACCAGTTTGGAAATCTTCTACACTCAACATAAGGAACAAGATTCGGATTTTCAACACCAATGTCAAGTCGGTCAGTGCTTCTATACGGGTCAGAAACTTGCACTGCGTGTCACGAAAAGGATTTCCAACAGCCTGTTGCAGACTTTTATCAACAGCTGCCACCTTCCCTGGCTCCATACTGAAGATCAAATGGCCAGGAAGAATAAGTAACAAGAAACTGTGGGAACAAACCAACATGTGAGAACCGATCCCTCAACAAATATGTAGAAGATGGAGATGGATTGGGCATACATTGAGGAGACCATTGAATGACATCGCGCGCCAAGCCCTTGAGTGGAATCCGAATAGGAGGCGACGAGTGGGTCGTCCTAGGGTAGTGACAAGGAGGAGGTCTAATGAGAAAGAGATCAGATATATAAGAATTCTAATAGGCATGAGATATTTATAAGTTTCAAGTTCGTTCACGTATTGATATCAGTTAGAGAATGATTGAAAATCCTAAGAATACTGGGCAGTTGTTTCGTCCCAGTTTCGGGCTCATCGACAGTACGCACCCTCTGGGGTTTGAACCTAGGATCGTCCGGTTACAAGATAAGTTCGTAGATCATTCAGCTAGTGGCTGGCTATAGGATGGAGTTGCCTGGAGTTCAGTAGCTGTATGACAGGGGCACGTGTCAATTGATCCACAACGGAAAACTCAGTGAGGCGTTTGGAATAAACACAGGAGTCAGACAAGGGTGCTTATTATCACCAGTGATATTCCTAGGTGTGCTAGTAGACTGGATTATGCGTCAGACAGTGGAAAATGGGAAGACAGGGATATCCTGGACCGACGTGAAGAACCTAGAAGACCTAGATTTCGCGCGTGGATGATATATGTTCGATGTCACACAAAATCGAAGACTTACAAGCAAAAACCGACAAAATGGTCGAAGAGGCTGGCAGCAATGACAGGACTCCAGGTGAGCATAGACAAGACGGGGGTTATGAAAATAACCAACCAACAACAACAACTACAACGGCAACATCCAGCGCCAATCACCATCAACGGGAGGGATTTGAAAGAGGTTACTTCATTCACTTATCTAGGGAGCATTGTCTCAATTACAGGAGGAACGGACGATGATGTCAAATCGAGCGAGAATCGGGAAGGCGAGAAACACATTCATCAACCTGAAACCAATCTGGAAATCTTCGTCACTCAACTCAGCATCAACAACAAAATTCCGATTTTCAATACAGACGACGTCAAGTCAGTCAGTTCTTCTATACGGACGGATCAGAAACTTGGCCAGCGGGTCACAAAGAATATTTGCAACAGCCTGTTGCACACCTTTATCAGCAACTGTCTTCGCTGGCTGTATACGGAAGATCAGATGGCCGGAAAGAATCACCAACAAGAAACTATGGGAAGAAACAAAACAAGAACCAATCGCTCAACAAATAAGCAGGAGAAAGTGGAGATGAATTGGACACTCGCTGAGCTGAGGAGGCCGTTGGGTGACATCGCACGTCAGGCCATAGCTTGAGTGGAACCCACTGAAAGGGAAGCGGCGAGTGGGACGTCGAAGGGTGACGTGGAGGAGATTGTGTGAAGAGGAGTTGAAACAGTATGGATTAACATGGATGCAGCTGAAAAGTACAGCAGAAGACAGAAGGAAGTGGAGACGTGCAGTTGAAGCCCTATGTTCCACAAGGAACACAAGGGAACAATAATATAATAATAATAATACAGTAGTAGTTTTATTTATTGTACATTGAGCATGAGGTGAACACACATTTTGATGTGCTTCATTTTGTTTACTAACCGGTGTATGTATTCATGTGAGAATGATATCTGATTTGTTCAGTTATTTTTTGTAGAAGAAGAACATTTACCTACCTTCTTTTTGTTTGTTTGTTTTACCTTTACAGCTTCGTTCAAATTCAAGAGTAGGTTATCATCATTCAAATGATAATAATAATAATACAGAAGAAGTATTCGGCTTAACTAGTGTTGATGAAGTCGTGAGATTTTTAATGGGTATTCTATACCTTGATATCATCGTCGCTGGTTCAGCGCTTCGATTGCCAATGTTTGATGAGTATGGATTCCCGGCACAATATCCTCTCAGTTTATTTGGTCCACCTCCATTGGATAGAAATACATTTTGTAAGTTGTTTGTGAGTAATTTTAGTATTATTATTATTTTCAAGTATTGGTTTTGTAGGGGTTTTGTTTGATTGGTTGAGCTGATATCAGTTAGAGAACCATTGGAAAACCTGCAGGGAGTATTGGACAGCTGTTTCGTCCTAGTCAGGGACTCTGCTTCATCAGTACGCATTCATCATAGGGGTTCGAACCCTAGACCTTCTAGTTACAAGACGAGCGAGCTCGTAGACCATTAAGCCACTGGGACCCGATCCAACGGCCAGCCCATGAATTCCAACTTATGCAAATTCACGACATAGCGCAACCACTTCGCAATGTCTTCTTCGATACGTTACTACCTGACCTTCAACCTGCTGCATCCTACTGGTCACGGCTTCCCACATATATGTATAGTGTATTTAGCCATGGCAAAGAAAGGGGCTGCACAAATTTCTTTTGAGCACAAAGATTTGGCATGCTCAAATGGATTCAGATTACCTCTGCTGCATGTAAAACTCGTATTCGCAGACCATGAAAGAGATTGGTTGAAATAAGATAAATAACTTTTAAAGCTTTGTTAGATTCCAGTCTCGATGAGATGAGCTAGTATTGAGCTGCGTATAGCTGTATTCAGACCTTTACCAAACAAAGATGGGAGGTGTTCATTAGTTTGGCGATAAACTTACCTGATCATACGTCCAGTTTCACTAGCTCCACACGATCAGTTAAACTAGTGAATACACTTTAAAGAGGCGAAACAGAGCAGTTTGTCCTTATTTCTTGAACTAATTATTGGTTGACTATTTATTTATTTTTATTTTTTTAAATTTTGATTTACAGCTTGATTCCACACCGTATTTTCAGTACATGTGTGGAATTTTCAGCATGGATATCGGTAGCCCAAATTCAGGCCGACCATAGATATCGGGTGTGCGCCGGCAGGGGTTCGAACCCCCGACCATGTGCATGGTCGGCGAGAGTCCTAACCACTGTGCCACCGACGCAGTGAATTAACAGCATAATTTAGGTGCATTGAAAGTCCATTTGAACGCTTTTCTCAGACTTTGTGATACAATCTCACTATATTAACATCTCCCGTGAATCGCATTTTTAGGAACACTGATTTTTTCCGGAACTGTGGGCACTCTGGACTGTTCACTTGCTAAGTTCATGTGTTTATTCAAAATTTTTGTCGGATATCCGTTTCTGCTTAGTAGATCACTAATATCACTGAGTTTCTCCTTTAGTGTTTTATTTGAACAAATGACTCCAGCCCGGTGAAATAAACATCTAGCCAATTTACGTTTGTATTCCAGAGGGCCAACTCATGAATTCCAACTTCTGCCAATTCGTGACATATATAATCATACTTAAATATCAAGTTGTAAAACAAATAATATCATACAAAGAATAGTTCCTAGGGTGTATAGATTTTGGAGGGGGGTGTAAGACTATACAATTAGTAGGCAAATAAAAATGTTACATAACATGAGGTGAAATTCAATAACATAGAATTTAACACTGCCAAACAAAATTCTATATTTAAAATAACAAAATAATACCGAAAACAGTTCCAAGTAAGAATAATAATAGTAACAATCCGACATAATAACCGAAGGGTGTACAAAGTGAATAAACAGAATGAAAAATAAGTCGAGCCAAAGTATGAATAGGGTTTATCATACTTTACCACAGATGGATTAAGTCTCTAAGAGTTGGAAAGTGTGAACGAACTTCTTTTATATACAGACTGACTGGTTTCAACATAGAACCTTGCACCGATGTGGAGCAGTTCAAGTCGCCACACTCCATGTAGCACACAAAGCAAGAGAAGAAAGTAGAAGAAATGCAAAATAAAGGCAGGAAACAGAGATATCAGACAAAAACAATAGTAATATGGAAGAGCAATAGACTTTTATTGGATATTTTAAGTCATAAGGAGTGGATGCATCTGCACTGGCCATTGAGAACGATTTTGAGACATATCACCAATTGTCTCCAGCCTTCATTGGCTTTTACCGTCCTGAGGACCCCAACCAGTCTGGGAGTCTACACCTCCCTCAGTGACTGGCTTAAACTGACTGTTATGGATTTCATTGACTGATGAAGCCATGTTTTGGTTTGACCACCAGTGGCTCTTTTCCAGCCTGACCCTATATCAGCTAACATTGCCCATTGTCGAGGAAGGCGATGACTAGGCATACGTAACACATGTCCTAACCATCTCAATTGATGTAACTTCACAACCTCGTCTATTGATTTCTTCTCTCACTCGACATCTAACCTCATTATTGCTCGCTCTATTATACCACTTAACATGGGAGACAGAACGCAGACACTTGTGATCAAAGACAGCTAGCTAGGCTTTTAATATCTTCTACTCTCAATGACCAGGTCTCGCTCAAAGCCATAGAGGAGGACGAAGCGGAGTGCTTAGCAGTACACACGTCCTTTGGTCGATAGCCGGATATCACATCGACGTCAGAGACGGCGTCAACTGGCATATGCAAAATGAGCCTTCTGTATCCGTTCTGAGATTTCGTCAGCGATCAACCCGTTGGCGTTGGCTGATGCAACTTCCCGAGTAAGTGAGGCGGTCAATGTGCTCTACCACTTCATTCCCTATTTCTAAACTAGGGGTCAGTGTAGTCCATTCAGTGCTGTAGCAGCATATTACATTTGGGTGGAGCGAATCGTATGCCAAACATTCGCAGCTCAAGGTGTTCAGAAGACTTTGCATTTTGTCAGCGTCTTCACTTGAGAGGGAGGACTATATCATCTGCATATTCTAAGTCAACGAGATTATTCCCTGGTAACAAGTCAATCCCTACGTCTCTGAAGTGAGTTAGGGTTAAGTCCATTGGTACATCTATGCTGACATTGAATAGGAATGGGGATAGTGGGCATCCCTGACGGACACCATTAGTTGTCGCCACTTGAGATGACAACTCGTCATAAGCTCTATATACAGAGGTCTGGCCTTTCTATTTTGAATACTGATGCTTCGGTAATACAGCTAAGTCGGATACGTAATGATTTGGGGAAGTTATTTTTTGCTCTATAGATAACTTTAAGGGAAGGATGAGGCTTTAGAGATAGGGTGCGACCAGTATCGACCAGATGTTCAGTAATTGAGCTTCTTATAGCTCCACTTCCACCTCTTCGTAACCATGCAGACAAAACCCGGCTCGAACAGCCGATATGCCTAGTACTACACAAGCAGATATATTGATAAACGCACACAGAAATGGTCAACTGCAGGATCTTGTCCTTCAGCTTATTAAACAGTAATGGTCGACTGGTAAAGGCTATTTTCTCAATGACGCTACAGCGAATGTCCTTTTCAGAGACTTTGACATCTTTCTTTTAAGAATGCCAGCATCTAAGTTGCCTTTGAATTCCAAGTTCGCGGAATCACTTGCTTTGATTTCCTACATGTCAAAATGTCAGCTATGTAATATCTAAATTAATCTTCTATTATGAGTTAAAATTTATTGATCAATAGGTATATTTGAGACTTTTTTCATTCCTGTACGTTCCTAGTGGAACACAGGGCTACTTCAAACTAGAGACTTGGAGTTTGGGTAGCAGTGGTGTTGATTTTTGCGGGATAGGGTCGTTAGCCTCATACCCAACCTTCCCTCTTTACCAGTTTTATTACTGGCTTAGCGAGGTAAAGGAGTGAGTCGGTGGCTTGGGATCGAACCCCGGACCACATATGGCGTGGTTGGCGAGCATTCTACCACTGTGCCACCGACGCATTATATTTGAGATGGTCATTAATAATTGAAGTGGATTCTGATGATATTAGATAGTTGGAGGCAATCGGCCACAGGAAGCCTTGCTTGACCTAGGTTTCGTGCTAGTTGGCACTCACCAGTCAGCAAGGCGTATCTGCAACCTCCTTGAAGGAACTCATATCCCTTCTGAGATTCGAACCCGCGTCACCCAGTGAGAGCTGCAGTTAGAGACGTTACCAGTGAGCTATTCGGCCTCGCGATTGACATCCTGTAGTGGATATTTTTGATTTGACACTAATCAGTAACTAGTGTAATGTGTCTAGTCCTATCTTTGGTGCAGACTGAATTCTATCAGTCATGTTTGCAATGTGGCCACCATGCTAGGTAGCTCGCCATCATGGTGGTGCACATTGATTTGATGATATTAGATAGTTGATTCTGCATTACATTCTCTTGTTTTCGTTTTACTTTTTCTTCTTTTTTTTGAATTTAGCCGATGGTTCACTTTCTAATCCACAAGGCAGTGTATTCAGCTTTTCAAGTGTACAAGGCTTAGAACATGTTCTAGCTGCATTGCCTAATCGTCAAATGACAGTAGAAACTGTCCTATACACTAGACTGGGGAGTCGTGTTCAACAATCAGTACTGGGACAATTTGAATCAGATTTTATATTTCAAAAGAAGGCAGTTATTCTATTAGAACAGTAAGTTAATTTTTTAGTGTAGAATAATATGTGTTGTGTGTTTTTGGCTGTTTCCCCCCCCTTTCCCTTTTTCTCTCTCCCAGAAATGTACCACTAGTAGACACTATCTGCTCTGTCTATGCGAGTATATTGATTTAAATAGCATCATGAACATCGGCTTACCAACTGAATATCTGAAACAACAACTATTATTGAGAGATGCACACTGAATGTGCAATTTAGATTTAATGAAGTCATCTACAATCAAAGGGATGGAGTCGCCATGGGGTCTCTTTTAGGACCGCTCTTAGCGGATGTCTTCATGGCGAGCTTAGAGAACGGCCCACTAAAGGAAACCATCGAGAGTGTGTTTATGTCTATGAGGAAAACTCTTCAACTGCCGAACTTCTTGGAATATTTAATGGTTCTCACCTATCATTGCTTTTCATGGTCGAAGAAGAGTCGAATTCCTCGTTTCACTTCCTTGACGTTACGTTAAGCTAGATAGAAGAGAGAATGGAACGCTGTTAAGGTCGATTTATCGAAAGCCAACATTCACAGGGCAGTAGTACACTAACTTCAACAGTTGGGGGTACCTTTAGGGAGAAAGAGAAATCTTATTCATTCCTTATGCTCCAGAATTCGTTAAATCTGCTCTATAGAGACAATCGGTAGAGAACTAGATAACCTTCGATCAAATTTCCTTTACAATGGATATCCTACAAGGTTTATTGAACGTAACATCAAGAAAGAATCCGCTCCTAGACATATCACAGTACCAAAGAAGAAACTGTTTATGAGTCTGGCATTCAAAGGTGACACCATTTCTGAATTGATCAAACATTGTTTATCTAAATGTATTAAACGCACTTCTCCTGCAGCTGACTTGCAACTAGTTTTTACCAGCCGAAATATGATTAGACAATGCGTCAAGGATAGATTACCGCTTATGTCTACATCTATGTGCATTTACTCTTTCACCTGCTCCTGTGGAGCTGATTGTATATTGGACGTTGTAAGCGTGCTCTCCGAAAACGTGTAGCTGAACACTATCCGGTTTGGTTAATTAAAGGCTAACGTAGAACTGCGAAGTCATCTATTTGTGATCACCTGTTAGAGTCTGGTCATTTAGCCCCACGTGATTCATCTTTCAAAGTTATCTACATGGCAAAATCGAATTGCTCCAAAAGTTTACGTTTTCTTCACTTATGCATAGCCCTGAAGCTTTAGCTATACATGAACAGAAACCTAAATTATGTGTTCAAAAACGTTTTGTCAAACCCCTTTCTTTACCTTGGTCATAGTAATGTTCTTTCTAGTTTTTACTTTATTTTATTTTACCACTTGAATTCTTCCCACTTCACTTCACATCTTCATTCTTACCGTAATCGTACTCCTAATTTTAAAAATTTTTAGACAACACTTGACATTTTTAAAACATTTTTGATTTCAATTCACTTATAAAACATTCTTTAATAATTTTGTAATTTATCCACTTCAACTCTACCCTCTATAAAATTTTAATTATCGTTATTCTTATCACATATATATATATATATATATGTATATTAACTGAGCAATTATTTAGTGCCACTTAATAACTTTTTCTGTAATATAAATACGACTGACCCTACAGCTTGAAAATGAAGTCGTTGAAAAGGAATTTCTTCGCTGAACAAAAAGAACTGTTATATATATTTTTGGTAAAAACAAATTTTTGTGCAGAATAAGATGAATCCATCATTTATTTCGTTGGTTTCTCTTCAGCTGCGTACAACGTGAAAGTTAATTATGCATGTGTTCAGAAAATTTTTTAAGCATACTTCCAAGGGGGTAGGTACATGAGTTTTGGTTAACAGAGTCATAAAATTAATAAACAGTAGTCATAAGTTTTTGAACACCATGCAAACATGCAAAATTAATGGTGGGATACATTAAAAATTGACTTGCATAGTCAAGACAATGGGGGGGGGGGACAGTTGAGAATAACTAACTAGTCAGTTGCGTAATAGTGTGGTGTGAGTTCAAGTCAAGTCATAGAAACAAACTGAATTATGTTAAAGCAAAAATGAGGGGAGGATTAAAGCAGAAGATTATGATCTAAGACCTTACCTTATAGCCAGGATGTCTTCGGTTCGAACGGTTCGGTTCGGTCGCGGTAAAATCATGAATTGGTAGAAGTTGGATTTCATGCCCTGGCAGTTGGATTGGGTCGCAATGGCTGAGTGGTCTACGAGCTTAACTTGTGACCGTAATGTTCTGGGTTCGATCACCGGTGAGTGCGTACTGATGAAGAGTCTCAAAGTAAGACGAAACAACTGTCAAGTACTCTTTGGCGGTTTTCGATGGTTCTCTAACTAAAGATTATGTATCCATTGTCAATGACCCTCTGACATTTAAAGTGGAAAAGTCAAACAAAGATTCAATTGATTCGATTGAGAAGCGCACTACAAATTTATTCAGAGAGCTCCTTAAAAGGACATTAATTGATAACAGTACTTACAATGACTTAAAACCTCGAGGGTCTCGTATGCCATAAGTTTATGGTCTGCTAAAAATACACAAGCAAGATGTCCCCATGAGACTTGTACTTTCTATAAGCAAATCACCTCATCATGAAGTTGTTCGTCGGCTTGCAGAGATGTTGGAGTCTATTCGTCAACGACTATCCGTATATACCGTTAAAGACTCATTCTACTTCGTTTCAAGTTTGACCACGACGTGGTATCAGTTAGAGTACCTTCGGAAAAGCAGGCAGTACTAGATAGCTGTTTCGTCCTAGTTTGCGACTCTTTGACAGTACACACTCACCGGGGTGCGAAACTAGGACTTTCCGGTTACAAGGCTAGAGATCTCGTAGACCATTCAGCCACTGCGAACTGATCCAATTGCCAGTTATGACTTCCAATTTCTACACTTCCGCCAATATCATCACAGGTGAGTATTGGTCCTTACACGCCCAACGTGATGGACTCCACCAGTCACGACTGCTCAGTAGAACTCCAAACAACCTTTTCTTGTAGCCAGTCATTAGCGAGCATCAGACTAATTCTATTTTATCAAAAATCTGAACAACACGAACGTTTCCAATAAGTTCATGCTGTCATTTGATGTAGCCTCCTTATTCTCAAGGATTCCAATTCATGAAACTGTCAAATTATTTCCCATTATTCCGAACAGCTTCCTCTACCAGTACCGGAATGTAAACGTCTACTACAAATGTGCACCATGGTTGTAAGCTTTCAATTCAATAATACCCTTTACCGTCAAATATATGGTGTAGCTATGGTCAGTCCACTAGGCCCCCGTACTAGCAGACATGTTTATGTTTAAGTGAAACAGAAGTAGAAAAAAAACAGGTGCTTTTGATCGGATCATCTGTAATCCCAAAAAAGTTAACAGCTAATTGTCAAATAATCTGTGTATCCACTACACCTACATTGCCTTATTAGCATTCTACCAACTTTTATAAGTTGGTATTAAATTTGAACTACTGAGACAAATTAATGACAATTGTAACTTTTCATTGTCATTGTAATAAGGTCAGTAGAATGTGATTTGATGATCTAAGCAATCTTTGTAATTCTCTATGATTTTCACTTAACTATATAAAAGTAACTGTTCTCTTGGCTACCTTTGTCTTTCCAACATTCTTTTCTTTCTCTCTCTCTCCGTCATAACAAAGGGTGAGGTAATGGTTTGTACTCACACACACATGCATACATCCTGTACACATGCATTTGTTTTTGTTACATGCAAGTTGAAAGAACTCATGTTTATGGTGGCTGTTTCTATTAAATGTATGCAAAGTGTAGCTTTTAAAACTTGAATGAATCTACTAATGACCTTAGAAATCGGTCATGATCTCTCTCTCTCTCTGTCTCTCTTCCCGCCCCCCTCACCCTTAGAGTAAGTAATCTAAAATATGATCAATAAGTATCTTAGAATCAAGCGATTTTTAAAATTTTCAATTATGTTTTCTTTGATATAACATAAAACAATTCGTCTTACTTCTCGTGGACTGTATCAGCTAACTGCACCTACATTCTGCTGTTAATGACATCGTTTGTAAATGTTGCTTGACGAAACTGTTTCATTGGCATCCCTTTGCGCAACAAGTGAAGTATAAGGCTTCAAACAGTACAGAGCCATTTCATTCTGTTCTCTGCCTTCCTCTTCAGCTGGACTCACGATTACCCACAAGCTCTAATCTCCTCCTCACATGACTTCCTCCATGATGTCAATCTCGGAGAGATACCCAACTCGTCGTTTCCCATTCACATTTCACTCGAGTGTCTGACACGAGATTTTACCCAACGGTCTTCTCAGCCTGTATGTCCAATTCGTCTCCATTCTCTTCCACATATTTCTTAAGCAATAGCTTTTTGATTGGTTCGTTCCCAGAGTTTCTTGTCGCTGATTCTTTCCAACAGGTCATCTGATCTTGATTATGGAGTTAAGGAAGACAGCTGTTTGTTGGTGTTGGAAATCCGAACTTTGTTGTTTATGATGAGTGATGAATTTCTGTCTGTCTGGGCTTTCTCATTCTGGCTTTGGCATCCTCATCTGTGCTGTCGCCTGTAGCTGGAAACGATGGTGCCCCCAACTAGATGAGTGAATGAAGTGACCACTATCAAATTTCTCTCGTTGACAGTAATTGGTGCTTACTGTTTTTGGTTGGTTATCTTTCTCACCTCCGCCTTCCCTATGTTCACTTGAAGTCACTTGATCACCCGATCCAATGACCCATGAATTCTAACTTCTTTCCCAGTGGCTTAATGGTATACGAGCTCTCTAGCCTTGTAACCAGAAGGTCCTGAGTTCGAACGCTGACGGTGGGTGCGTACTGATGAAGCAGAGTCCCAAACTAGGCTGACGAAACAGCTGTCCAGTACTCCCTGTTGGTTTTCCAATGGTTCTCTAACTGATGTCAGCTCATGATGAAATCCTCCAACAAGGAGATTAGACATTGGGTCATTTTACGTTACATCATTGTATATTCCATCTTAAACGGTAGCTTACTGTCTATTGTTTAAATTAACATTCATAATTTGAATTTTCAATGTTTTATTTTTGATCTGTTTTTCTTCTTTTTCTTCTTCTTCTCTATTATTTATCCTGCATAGATTTCGTCATCAACTCACTGAAATGGCTAAACAAATTGATTTGAACAATAGTGCACGTGATATGCATCATCAGTATCGTGCTCTAGATCCTTCATTGATGCCAAACTATCCTGGAATCTAAACGGATCTACAAGTTCATGTGTGGGCGTGTGCGTGGGCGTGTAGAACAATGACAATCTGCTGTTAGTATTTTAAGTGCTTCTCTTCTCTCTCTCTCCTACCATCGAAGTATTACCCCATAGAATTGGGCGGATAAACGCAGTAAACAACACATATCATAGATATACATATATATGTTGTGAATAATTTTTCTTAGCGGTTTTTTCAACTTTTTTAAAAATTATTTTCTTTTTCCTAATTACAAGCTACTTTGTAACATACATATCGTCATATTATTATTATTATTTAGTGTGTGATCGGGTTTCTTTTTGGATCTTTTTGTGGTTCGTTCTAGACAATCTTTACCTTTTTTTGCTTTATTGATTTATTTTGAACCTATCGTTAGTATTATTATTAATATTATTAATATTGTTGTACATACATATACTCTCTGTTTCTCTCTCTTTCCCCTCTGTGTCATGGATTGAGTACCGATGATTATAGTATGATGCGACTGTTTAACATACTGATAAACAGGATAATTGGCTGTGTTTCGTTGTCACGTAACAGAGAATACCTTCCACTTTGTTGAGACTTGTGTGCTAGGCGGGGTATGGGGTGTTAGATGGGTGAATGAATGCAGTATTGTGCTCAATTTTATCAATTTATCCATTGTGTTTGCCACCCTCCACCCCGCGATCACCTTGTGGGCGGCATCCAATCTGATATTTGAAACTAATGAAAACTGCTGTTGTTGTTTTATTACCTTTCTTGTGACATTGAATTCTTTTTTAATGAATACCATTACGACTGCTACTACTACTACTACTACTCTGTGATTGATTTTTCTTGGTCTACTCACAGTATATATCTTTGCACTCGCTGGCTTTTCTTCTCTCTCTCCAAAAAAACCTTTTGATCTCTATTTTGCACGAATGATTAGTGATATACTTTTTTTAAAAAAAAAAAAAAATTTGATCTCATCTTTGTTGTTTTATTTTATTTGTTTATTTTCTATTTTGTATTGAGGTTAATTTGGCATTAATATATTAACCTTTCGTATTGATGATATCAATTGTCGTTTTTCTTTTCTAGTAACTTTGGGGTGTAGTAGTAGTAGTTGTATATTGATTTTTTTTCTATTAATGTACTTTTATAATGTCGAAGAAAAGGAAAGGAAAAAAACCCTACTTGATTACAAATAAAAGTTTTTTTTTCTTTCTGTTTTTGTCTTTTGAGTATTATTACAAAGTTTTTTTTTCGTTTGTTGGTGAAAAGAATGGTTGTCAATATGTGTGTATATAATCGATACAAAATTGTGTTGTTTTTATGCAATTTGTTTGTTATTTTTTGATATATATATGAACGTCATTCAAGAGGTGGCTGTATATGACAGTCTCACATGTGTCAAGTGATCTACTGATAGAAAAGTCAGCGAAGTTTGTTTTGAAGTGATGACATGAGTAAGACAAGGTGGCCCTTACCGTAACTGATGATATTCCTCGTGGTGATGGCGGTTATTATATTATTATTGTTTCCTTTAATTCCTAGAGGAACATAGGGCTTCAGCCGTGCGTCTCCATTACGTTCGGTTCTCTGCTAGAGTTTTCACCTGGCTCCAAGTCTGCCCACATGCTTTCATCTCCTCTTCACATGACCTCCTCCAAGTCACCCTTGCACTGACGACCAACTCGCCGCTTCCCTTTCGGGTTCCACTCGAGCAATGGCTTGTCTAGTGATGTCACTTGATGGTTTCCTCAGAGTATGGCCAGCCAATCCATCTCCATTTCTTCCTGCTTATTTGTCGCACAATCGGTTCCTGCTGTGTTGGTTCGCTCCCAGAGATCCCTGTTGCTGATCTTTTCTGGCCGGCCATCTGATCTTGAGTGGTATTGAGCGAAGACAACTGTTAATGAAGGTGTGTAGTTTGTTTGAGGTGCTCTTTATGACGCGCAGTGCAAGTCTCTGATCCGTATAGTGAGTAGCTGACTGACTTCACATTGGAGTTGAAAATCCGGATCTTATTTTTGATGCTGAGAGTTGTTGACCTCCACACAGACTTGAGAGTAGTGAAAGCTTGTCTTGCTTTTCCGATTCTCGCTTTGATATCCTCGTCAGTTCCGTTCGCCTGCAGTTGAAACGATGCTTCCCAGGCAGGTAAAAGAGGTTGTTTCTTTCAGGTTCCTCCCATTGATGCTGATTGTTGTGTGTTATGTGTTGTTGCTGTTGTTGGTGTTGTCCAGGAATCTTCATCACCTCTGTTTTCTCTAGAGGCGGTGGTGGATTGGATTTCGCGGATGACTTATGTTTAATGTCATATTTGTTCGATGACTTACGGGCGAAAACTAAAAAGTTGGCAGAAGAGGCCCCGAGTGAAGACAGGAGTTCAAGTGAACTTAAGGAGAATGGAGAAGATGAAGATAACCAACTAGCCAGCCAGCCAACAACAACAACACCAATCACTATCAACGGAATAAATTTGAAAGAGGTCACTTCATTCACTTATCTGACTAGGCACCATCGTTTCAATTCCAGGTGGCAGCACAGATAAGGATGTTAAAATCAGCCAGAATTGAAAAGGCAAGGCACACCTTCATCACTCTGAAATCAGTTTCGGAATCTTCTGTACTGCACTCAGTCAGCATAAACAACACGATTCGTATTTTCAACATCAATGTTAAGTCAGTCTGTGGTGGTGTGATACAGAGAATGTTTTCCAACGGAATATTATTATTCTCACATATTCCGACAGTTCAATACGGTATTAGCAACAGAATAATTAATGTATATGTATTTAAACCTTCCATTTCACGTCGTTTCATGTAAACCAAAATCACACGCTCAGTGATTGATTGGTTAACGAATATAAAACTGTAGATATATAAACGGGGTTATGACTAATGAAATATACCTTTGCTTCCGTGTCTTACCTTCTGCTGTTACAAGTCATTCAGTTCTTCTATATGGGTCAGAAACTTGGCGAACACGTCACGAAAAGCATTAGACTACTGTAGACTTAAATCAACAGCTACCTTCGCTGGCTGCATAGTGAAGATCAAATGGCCAGTCACAAAGAATTAGCGACAAGAAACTCTGGGAACGAACGAATCAAGGACATATTGTTCAACAAATATGGTGAAGAAAATGGAGATGGATAGGAAACACACTGAGAAAACCGTTGGGTGAGACTGAGCGCCAGGCCATAGCTCTAGTGGAACCGGAATGGGAAACTGAAAGTTCGCTATGTCTCCGAAAGTGTCATGGAGATCGTCTTAATAGGAGATGAGAGAGCTTATGGGTAGTTGTTAGGCCAGCTAAAGAGGACTTCAGAGAACCCGACAAAGTGAAGATGTTGTTTTGAATCTTCGTGTTCTTGAGTGAATTATATATATGTATGGATGGATGGATGTAGTATAAACTAGAGGGAAACCTTGAGGTGTGCTAGTGCACTGTGCATCTATATCCTGTTCATACACCGCTCCTTGTAGTTGGAAACATGAACTGTGCCGTAACGCATTATCCTTCGATTAGTTTAATGCGATTCTACTGTCTAATACCTTTATCCTTTTTAACTTTATATTGTAAGACAGTATACTTTTTCAGTAGGAATTCTTTCGAGGGTATTATCATGTTCTTACTTATCACGTGGAACTGGAGTGTTTAGAGGTTAGTTAGTCGGCGTTGATGATGATTGATTTTGACGTGTAATGAAAGTGACACGATCATACTGTTGTAGAATAGTGATAATCTGTGCTCTTAATCAATAATGGCAATATTACATTCGCTTATCGTACAGTACTTTTTACTTAACAATGGCGAATGGAATCATAGAACAATTGTGTTGTTTGATTATATTCCTCTTGTCTTTAGGCGATGTATCAGTCGGTTTCGCCCACTGATTAGCCATTTTTTTAAAAGATGTTCTTGATAAAAGAATAAACCACTTCATCTTATTAGATGAGGCAATCGAATTATCAGTATTGTTGAAAAGCCAATTCACTTTTGTATGTTGAGATAAGCTGAAGGAAGATCAAACAGTTATTTTCTTTGGTGTTGTTGTTGTTGTTGACATAAAGTTGTTTTTTATATGGAGAATCCTGTCCAGCAGTTATCCAATGTTTAAATAGATTTGATGACTTGAATTGTTCAATTATACAGAAGTTATTCTCATGTGATTCGTGTTTTTTTGATATGTCAGCTTTATCTAACTACCACAAAAACGTGTTGTTTTATTTCTATTCCTTTGAGTTCCCAGTGGAACATAGGGTTTCAAGCTAGAGCTTTGAAGTTTCAGTAGCAGTGATGTTTATTTTTACGGGGTGAGGTTGGTAGCCTCACTCCCAACTTTCCCTCTTTTTTTCGTGTTACTTCATTCACTTATCTAGGGAGCATTGTCTCAACTACAGGAGGAACGGACGAGGATGTCAAATCCAGCGAGAATCGGGAAGGCGAGAAACACATTCATCATCAACCTGAAACCAATCTGGAAATCTTCGTCACTCAACTCAGCATCAACAACAAAATTCGGATTTTCAATACAAACGTCAAGTCAGTCACTTCTTCTATACGGATCAGAAACTTGGCCAGTGTATCACAAAGAATATTTCCAAGAGCCTGTTGCACACCTTTATCAACAACGGTCTTCGTTCTATACTCAAGATCAGATGGCCGGAAAGAATCATCAACAAGAAACTATGGGAAAAAGCAAAACAACAACCAATCGCCCAACAAATATGCAGGAAAAAGTGGAGATGGATTGGACACTCGCTGAGCTGAGGAGGCCGTTGGGTGACATCGCGCGTCAGGCCAGTGCTCGAGTTGAACTCGAAAGGGAAGCGGCGAGTGGGACGTCAATGCTAGGGTGACATGGAGGAGATCGTGTGAAGAGGAGTTGAGACAGTATGGACTAACATGGATGCAGGTGAAAAGTACAGCAGAAGACAGAAGCAAGTGGAGGCGTGCAGTTGAAGCCCTATGTTCCACTAGGAACCCAAGGGAACAATAAAGAATAAAACCCGTGAAGCGAGGTTAAGGAGTGCGTCGGCCAGGAATCCAACCCTGGATCATTTGCTTGGCTGGCCAATGTTCTACCACCGAACCACCGACGCACAAAAACGTGTGGTTGTTGTTGTTGTAATATAACTGAAATAGGACGAGTAGGTTGCAGTGTACAATTGAAGTTAATGAATTATACGATTGATTAGTTCTAAAAAAAACCCAGCTGGGATTTTCACATTTTGTGAACTGATGTGTGCGTGTATTTTGATCCTCATCGTTCGTAAAAGGTATTTGCAGAATTTATGCACATTGGATAGTCGTGATATCGTCTTTCCCTTTTGCTAAAGTTTTGATAGTTATACTGGCTACCTTATTACTATCATATACCCTCTCCTTTTTTTGAATTATAGATATGGCGGTTATGATGTCTTCACTATCATCGCTTTTTAAACATTCATATATGTCAATAAGATCTCCAATAGGATCTTTTTCAACTTCATTACCGGTAATGTTGAGTCATTTTGTCAATACTAATATTCTTCAATCCAAAAGGTGAGTACTGTTTTTTTTTACGTTAGTCCACATAGTGTTTTCATATTGTTTTTCTGCATTTATTTCGTTTCAAAGGATAACTGATAACTTTTTGGCGGTTTAAAGTCAAACTATTGGTGGACGTATTCATGTATAACACTCACTTGCATTTTGAACTCTGCTATTTGATGTAAGATGAGCACTATCCGTGTGGTTTTGTTTGAAAGAATAAGCTAAAGATGTTCTCATAGTAAAATCTCAATAGCTCCGGGTGACCATGGATCGATATCATTTAGAGAACCACTGAAAACCAGAGAGTACTGGACATCTGTTTCGTCCTGGTTTGCGACTCTTCAGTAGTACACAACCACCATAGTTTCTAACGAAGTCAAGCCGGTAGACTGCTCAGCTAGGATCCAACTGAAATCCCAAGAAAGTAACTCTTGAAAATTAATCTGATACCCACTAGTGACTGGCTGCAGAATGAATTTTTCTCGAGCTCTTTCTAATGGGAAGCCGTGGTCATTAAGGTCCACTAGATCGGCCGTGTGAGGGCAAATACTCATTGATAACACTGGCTGGTGGTCACTCTATAATTCATGAATTTGTAGAAGCTGGAATTCATGAAATGGCTGTTGGATTGAGTCCCAGTAGCTGAATGGTCCACATTCTTGACTGGTAACCGGAAAGTCCTGGTTTTGAATCTCGATGTTTGGCAACTTCTGAGGAGTTCCAGACAAGGACGAAACAGCTGTCTTGTACTCCCTGGTTTTCAGTAGTTCTCTAACTAATATCACTACATGATCAAACCTAAAACAAATCAAATCCTTACAAACTAACTCTTGAATACCGAATAGCTGACTCAATTTTTGTTAGTTATGTGTTGTTTCATGTTTTTCATAGGTACATGCATTCCATTGTTACATTTTATGCTGTCATTGGAAAGGGAAATGCTTAAAGATTCAAATTTTCGTGTCTGACGTCTTTTTTTTGTTGTTGATAAAATTTAGTATTTTTCTAAAGTACTACTGTAAATAGTAAATTTTGCAGCTGAGAAATAAATTATCGTAAAGTTGTGTAAAAACTGAATGCAGTTGTACAGTCTGTTTTATTATTTTTGTAATTTCTCATCGATTGGTGAATAATACTCAATGATGAAACACCGTCAGCTTTGTTTATATGCATATCTTAAGGTCTCCCAGTTAAAGGTGTTTCCTCCAATAATGATAACAATAATAATAACATACATTGTAAAGCTTTGGATATTGAAGTTCTGGTCACATTTCTAGTTCTGGTTTTTAGCATTTAGTCAGGAAACTGTAGTTAATATTTCAGAATGATCCATAGTGTAATGGCATGGCAGGTTCTTCATTTTCTTTAGCATTGCAAGTCTAATGATGAGTAAGTCGATACGAAAATCCATGCACACTTGAAAAACAGTTCTAGTGCTCACAAGGGTATTTAAGGTGTAGAGTTTCCGGTTAAATAGTTATATGATTTTATGACTGATATTTTGTATAGAACGATAAACAATCCAATGAGAGTTTAGGTAGTCATATTTTATTCCTTTGCGTTCCAAGTGGAACATACGACTCTAAGCTTCAGTGTTGAAATTCCTATAGCAGTGGTTTTATTCTTATGTGTTGGGGTTGCTAACCTCACTTTCAACCTCACTTTCCTCTTTACTGTTCTTACTACAGGCTTAATAAGGTCTAGGAGTGCGGCATCGTTTGCGAATCGGACCTCACACCTCGCGCAGTGTGGTTGGTGAGTATTCTCCCAATAAACCACTGACCCTTAAAATCGGAGACTACTGGACATCTGTTTCGTTTTCTTAGTTAAGGACTTTTCAGTAATTTGCACCCGTCGGGGTTCGAACCCAGGGACTCATGGCTACATGGTGAGTCATTAGGTAGTTATTTCAGACTACAACTCGTAAAGGAAGTTCCTTATTCCACCTATCACACAACTAATGAGAACTTATGTCGCCTCGGCTGATTTTAGAAACAAAAAATATAAAGTAACTGAAGTCGATTGTTGTTAGACAATGTGGTTCATCATAACGGATCGTTTCTGCGTAAATGTATTCATATTTTACCTTCATCTAGATCTTAATTATCTTTATCAACTCTATTAGTTTCTTCGCCGGGTTGTTTAGTCTTAAGTCTATGTTTTTTTGTATACGACATCTGTGAGGTATATCAGCTTAAATACTCCTGAAGTAATGCCTGTGTCACCCTTGTTGTTCATATAAAATGAGTTGTAACTTCATACAGAAACACTTACATACTTCTGTATAGAATGAAAGACCGAATTCACCCTATTCCACAGGTTCTCCTCATCAGCTGCTGCTGTAAACTACCTGAAATTAAAGTGGTTATAGAAAGTGACAATGATATACTTCGATGTCTGAGTGGTAGTAGAGAAAACACTATAAAATTAACGCAGCCGAAATATATATGCATTACAATTTTTAGTTTAAGTTACCATCAATTTATGTGCTTTCAAAATAGAAAAGAAGGGGGAAGAGAGACCGGCGGCGGGACAGAAAACAGAGAAATCTAATGAACACTGTTAGCTTGTAAGTTCATATAGCAACTCAAGAAGGTTATAGTTCATAGAATTGAAAACTTGCTCAGTGACTTGAAATCACTAATATGGATGACTAATGGATGTAATCAAAATGCATGCAGTTACCATGGCAGTGAGAGAGATTGATTACACTTTCTTTCTGTGTGCATTATTTTGCTTTCAAACGTCTAACTGCAGTCGCTTCAGCAAATCATAGTAAATTTGTTGTCTCTGTATATGTTTAATATTTTGAAGGATTTGAAAATCTTGACAAAATGACCCGTATCCACCACAAGGTGTCTTGTAACTGCACATTGCGAATATTTACTTCTTTTTAGGCATACCTTTCCTGGGATATGCTTGGAAATCACTGATAGAAACCCTTCTTACTCCAGCAACTGCATGTATATTTATCAACGTAGTTGGAGATGAAATCAGCAGGATACTTGTCCAGCTGATGAGAACCTGTGAGATAGAAGGATATCATTTTATTCTGGAAATTTGGTCTTTATTTCACCGAAAATACCCATTGAGTCATGAAGAAAATAAAAGATAATTCAGCGATGAAAATTTTCGTTATCGACGAAATCATCTTCACAGGCTGTACAGTCGTATTTATATTTACCAAAAATGTATAGTAGTCCATTATTGAGTAATAGAGAGGGAGGTGACATAATTGATATAATTACTCAGAAGTGACTTCAAAAGTAAAAAATAAAAGTTAGAAATCACGTAATGCTCAATGGTACAAAGATAGAAATTTGGCCAGGTTGAAATTGCTATTGAGTGATAATAAGAGTAGTTGAATGTCAATTTAACAAGTGTGAAGAGGGTGTGAAAATATACAAAAGGAGCATATGAGAGTGATAATAGGGAATTAATTGTTAAAGTAGAAGCAAAGTAATCGTTAAAAATTCAAAATTTACAAGCAACAACTAATGAAGAGGCTAAGACTATGGCAGAATAGGAGACTGGACAAACATTTTCTGTATAAAGAGTTTGAGGTTGATTTGACGAATTCCCAACGCCTCAACCATACACAAATGCCGAAACCTGGCTCCCTTTGTACCATTTGGTCTCACTTTGTAGATAATCTTGAAAGACGACTCTGGTGGGAGCTGCGTGCCTTGAATTCACCAAGTGCTCGAGAGTTGAGCCAATAACTGTCTTGCATTGTCTTTTTGCTAACCATGCTAGATAATGTTCAGAGATGCGTTTGGAAAGTGTGCGCTTTTCTTCTTTTACTTCTAAAGCCACTTCTGAGTAGTTATATCAATAATAGACTGCTGTACACTTTTGGTAAATATAAATACGACTGCACAGCCTCTGAAGGTGATCTCGTCGGTAAAGGTAATTTTCCTCACTGGATTATCTTTTCTTCATTCTTTCTTCATGGTCTTTGTTTCTCTATCGAAATTTATCAGTGGAACCAAGTGTATGAAACTTACGTATATATATATATATTTTCGTTACAGTTTTATTTTGTAACCAATTTTAATTTCTCATTTTAGTGATCACCAGTGTCTTTTCCAAACACCTCGTCGATATCGAAGAAGTGAAGAGGTGAAGAAATACTACTCAGAAACTGGTGATTATAATCCTCCGAATCAAGATGTCATTGATCGATTCAAACGCTTACGTTGGGGTGCGTTTATTCATGCACGAACTGGTCGTGCTAAACATTTGTATAGGTGAGTCTCTTTTTTTGTAATGTGTATAAGCTGTTAGTGTATCAAAAACTGATAAATGTTTTTAGGAATTTAAGACACTAGAATACAATTCACTGGCAGAATAGTAAGGCGCTTAATAGAAAACCTAATAATCGTAGTACTAGTTAATTAGTTTCGTGGGATTTTTTTATTCGTTGAAAACCAGAAGACGCTTAACAGCTGTTTCGTCAAAGTATGAAACTGTATGGTAGTTCTTACTTACGGTCAACTGACAGCTGGAACCTAATTGACTGATCGGTTTCAAAGTAGAGCTTTGCACAGAAATGCAGCAGTTTCAGTTGCCACACTCCATGCATGCACCACACAAAGGAAGACAAAAGCGAGAAAAGAAAGAGGTTCAAAAGACCGATAAAAATCATGTCCTCCACTTTTATTAGCCATATCTCACAGTAATAAAGGAGGACGAAGCAAACTTCTACGCGGTACTCATGTCCTTTGGTGGATAGCCCGCTGGGTAGCACGTCTACGCCACAGATTGCGTAAGTCAGTGATTGCTACACTCTAGCCTTTTGTATTCGTGCTGAGATTTTTTCAGCAATTAGTCCGTCGGGGCTGATGCAACTTCCTAAATAAGTGAAGTGGTCAATACGCTGTACCACTTCATTCCTTATGCGAATGGCATGCCAAAGATTCGAAGGTTTCCACTGTATCATCTGCATATTCTAAGTCAACCAGGTTATTCCCCGGTAACAAGTCAATCTCTGAGTCGCTGAATTCATTTAGGGTAAATTCCAGTAGCACATCTATGATGAAATCAAACGAAAATGGAGGAAATGAGCATACCTGATGGACGGCACTGTTTGTCATCACTTTAGAAGACAATTCTTCATAAGCTCTTACACGGTTGCATGAGTTAGAGTGGAGTGTTTTGATCGCTGCGATATACTTTCTCGGCACTGCGTTCATAGCCAGACATTGCCACAGCACCTCGCGGTCGATAGAGTTGGATGTCGCCTTCAGGTCAAGAAATGTCGCAGTTGTTGGACACCGGTAAGTATGACTGACTGACTGACTACTTTCAACGTAGAACTTTGCACCGATGTGCTGCTGCAGTTCCAGTTGTCACACTCCCTCCATGTAGCACACAAACCAAGAGAGGAGAGTAAAGAGAGAGAGAGATGATAAACAGAAATGTGAGGTAAAAAGAGTAGTAATAAGGAAGAAAAATAGAATCTTATTGAATATTAAAAATCACAAACAGTGAATGCATCTGTGTCCACCACTGAGAACGATTTCGAGTCATATCACCAATTGTCTCCAGCCTTCATTGGTTCTTACCATCCCGAGGACCCCAACCAGACAGCAGTCTTCACCTTCCTACGTGGCTGGCTGGCTTAAACTAACTGTTGTAGACTTCATTGACTGATGAAGCCATGTTTTGGTTTGACCACCAGTGGCTCTTTTCCAACCTGATCCCATATCAGTCAGCTAACATTGCCCATTGGTCAAGGAAGGCAATGGCTAGACATGCATGCGTAACACATGTCCTAACCATCTCAATCGGTGTAACTTCGCAACCACTCAATGCCTAACCATAATGTTGCTAACCCTATTATACCACTTAACACGGGAGAAAGATAGATAGACAGGCACCTATGATCAAAGACAGCTAGCCAGACTTTTCATGTCCTTCACTTTCAATGGTCATATCTCAGTGACAGGCATAAAGGTGGACTGCGCGAACAGCTGAGAAGTGCACCAGTTCGAGTTGCCACGTTCCAAATAGCACACAAAGGTAGACAAGAAGATGAGTGAAGAGAATCAATAGAGTTTTGACAAGTGTAAGAGTGAAACAGAATGAGTAATGGTAGAAAGGAATATGAAAGATTACAGAGACTGAATACATCTGCGTAAGCCATTGACAACGATTTTGAGCCATGTCACCTATTGTCTCCAGCCATTGATTCTTAGAGTCCCGAGGGCCCCAACCCGGAAGTCTGCATCTCCCTACCTACCTGACTCAGTTTAACTGTCAAGGTTTTCATGGATTGATGAGGCCATGTTTTTGTTTGGCCACCACTTACTCTTTTCCAACCTGCACCTATATCAGCTAGTAATGCCCGTCGGGGTGGGGGAGGCGATGGTTAGGCCTGCGCAGCACGTGACCTAGCCATCTCAATCTATGTAACTTCATAGCCTCTTCGATTGATTTTCCCTCTTTGCCCAACTTTCTACACCTAACGCTAACATTACTTAATTTATTATACCACCTAACGTGAGAAAGAGATCGTAAACATCTATGATCAAAAACAGACAACCTTTTCATGTTTTCAACTCATATTGGCCATGTTTCGGAGCCATAGAGAAGGATGGAGCGAACTGATGAGCAGTACACACGTCTCTTGGTTGATAGTCGGATGTCACGCCTACGCCAGAGATGGTATAAGTTAGCGAAAGCAGCTCGAGCTTTGTGATTATTACAGAGGGTGTTGAAAAGTTTGTTAACTTGTAGTCTTCCAAAATACTGTAAACGTTTCTGGATATAAGAAAAATATTTACTACTGTAGTATACCTTACTTAGTCTACACCGTATTCTACTTCACCACTGAAAATGAATTGTGTTTAGAATTGTTTTACAATCCAAGAACTACTTTTGTTTATTCTATGATTTGAGTGATACGTTGTGGTAAATTACATTGTATAATTGTCATATAGACTTCTTCTATATGGTCAGTATTCACTGTACCCGTATACTGGTTTCCTACCACTATTCATTAGATTTAGAGAGTGTGCAACAAGTTTTCTGATGTGCCTTATTCATTCTCTCTAAATAAATTCATTCTATATATTTTACAGGCGAAGTGAAGCTGAAAGAGCTCGACGCTCTGAACACGTCTTGACTAATCGTGCAACATCCTTCCTGTTAGATAATATGCTTAATGAACAATGGCGTAAACCGAAATATTATCCGAATGATATATACGAACCGTATCATAAAAGAACTGGAGTCCCTTGGGATTATGCACTGAAAAAGCCAAAATTCTTTCCTTAATTGTTTTTTTTTTTGTGTCAGAAAGAAAAAGAATGTTTTGTTTGATTAAACTTGCCTTGTAGAAAATACACAGAATTGATTCGCACAGCTTTTGTCTTTCTTTGGTTGTTGTTGTTGTTGTTGACAGTCAATCCATTCATAAGGAGAAAGTTCGCGTCGATGTAAAATCATTCATTAACCATCGTTCTACTTATTACGAGTTAGTAGTAAGCAGTAATTTCTTATTGTTAAACTAAGTGATCAGTTATTAGATGGTTGGAGGCAATCGGCCACAGGAAACCTTGCTTGACCTAGGTTTCGTGCTAGTTGGCACTCACCAGTCAACAAGGCGTATCTGCAACCTTGAAGGAACTCATGTCCCTTCTGAGATTCGATCCTGCGTCACCCAGTGCAGTGCTGCAGTCAGAGACGTTACCAGTGAGCTATTCGGCCTCGCGATTGACCTCCTGTAGTAGTTGTTACACTTCAAAATGTTTAACTTAAAGACGATAGGTGTAAGCAGCAAATTATATATTCTTTATTCCTACAACGAATAAGACAAAACTACCTGCCTATTATCACCAGTGATATTGCTAATTTCAGTGGACTGGATTATGCTGACGACCGTGTTTGGGAGCGAGAAGACAGGAATACGCTCCACTGACTGATAAGAAGACTAGCATAATTAATAATGCTAGCAGAATGTATGGTACTATTTAAGTACATGAGCCAGGTTACCCAATACGACCAATAGTAGACCTAAGGAATACCCCTACTTATGAATTATCAAAACACTTAGCTCTAATTTAATGCCCCATTAGAAATCGTTCAAACTCTAGACTAACTAACTAATTCATATGAGATGAAAAATAAACTAAATGACATTCAACTAGAAAATGATGAAACAATGGTTAGTTTTGATATAACTAGTCTTTATACTAATATAGCAATCAATATGCCCGCCGTAGAAGCAGTTAAAAAAGAACTAACTGCAGATCCTGAACTCATTCACAGGACAAAGCTGCCCATTGAAGAAATTATTATTGGAATTCAGTTATTCTGTCTCACATCTACTATCTTCAAATTCCAAAATTAAATACATAGAAAAACAGAAGGTGTAGCAATGGAATCAGCAATATCCCCTATAGTAGCAGATATATTTATGGACATTTGGGAAAATATGGCTCTTAATACATTTAATCCTACTCCAAAAATATGGTGGAGAAATGTGGATGACACTTTCACACACAGTGTTAAAAACAGAACATATCTCTAGCTTCTTGACGCATATAAACTCACTAGTAGAGGGAATAAAATTCACATTTGAATCGGAAAATGAACAAGGAGAATTAGCTATGTTAGATTGTAAAATAAAACGAATAGAAGAAGGTGAACTACACACTAGTGTTTATAGAAAACCGACGCATTCTAAAAGATATTTAGACTTTAATTGATCTCATCTGTTGTCTGTGAAGGCTGGCTTAGTTAGGTGTCTAACAAACCGAGCACTAGCACTGAGTAGCACAAGAAAAGACCTAAACGATGAAATAAAACAGATAGAAGAAGCGTTGGTATCGAATAACTATCCTATAAAATTCATTAGGAAGATCGAAAATGTCAAAGGCAAAATAAAAATAATTGTGCAACTAATAATGATAACATAAATAAGATAAAATATATAACGCATCTACAGTTCTAACACATGAGGAGGGAACATCTGATACCCTACGTAGGATTCTCAGTTAAGCAGGAATTAAGGTGGCATTCAAACCTACAAACTCACTGAGGGACAAGCTCTGTAGGCTAAAGGACCCGGTGAACTCAAATAAACAAAACAATACAATTTACAAAGTATCCTGCAATGACTGTCAGGTCAACTATGTAGGTCAAACTAGTAGATCGGGGGTAGTCAGCTTGTCGGAACATAAGAATTTAGCTAAGGTTAGAATGATTGACCCAACCGGCGAAGATAAGTAATTTAGAAAAAAGCTCAACTATTGCACTGCATGCATTAACACACAACCACACAATAGGGTGGGAGAGGGTTAAAATTCTAAAAAGTAATATGGGTAGGTGGAGAGAGAGGTTGATTACTGAATTTTTGTTCATCGAGTCTAAACCGAATGACGATAAGAAGACTCTAGAAGATCTTGACTTGGCGGACGATTTATGTCTAATGTCATACAAACTAAGAGACTTGCAGGCGAAAAGCAACAAGTTGGCGGAAGAGTCAGAGGTCGAAGACAGGACTTCAAGTGAACACAGAGAAGACGGAGGTGATGAAGATAACCGACCAACCAACCAAGTACTAATCACTTCCTTTACTTATCTAGGAAGCATTGTTCCAATTGCAGGTAGTCGACAAAGATGGGGATGTCATTTTTCCTTGAGGTGGGAGTGTTGCAATGAGTCCTGGCCCTTTTGAATAGTGTTTGTTTGCAATTCCTCTTGTGTGCTATTGGATTGTTGCTGTTGTAATTCAGGATTTGGTCTGTGTGAATTGATTTTCTATAGACTTGAGTTTCTAATTGTCCTGTGGTTGTTCGCTTGACTAAGACGTCCAAAAATGGGATTTGGTTTTCTGATTCCTCTTCTCTTGTGAATTTGATGTTGTTGAAGACGTTGTTTATCAGGTTGTGAGCTTTATCTAACTCGTTTCTTTTGATAATTACAAATGTGTCGTCTACGTAACGTATCCAAATCTTGGGTTTGATCTTTGGTAGAATTATGTTCTCGAGCCTTTGCATCACTGCTTCTGCAATCAAACCTGATATTGGCGATCCCATAGGTGTTCCTTTGACTTGTTCATATATTTGGCCGTTGAAATGGAAGTACGTTGTTAGACATAGGTTTATGCATTCCATTCAACTTGTGTGTTGCATTTTTGATTTTTGTGGAAGCTGTTCGTCGTTGTTAAGTAATTGCTCCATGGTTTCTTTTGCTAGTTTTTGTCCGATTGAGGTATACAATGCTGTGACGTCGAAGGATATCATTATCTCTTGTTCGTCTATTTGGATGCCTCTGATTTTCTCTAGGAATTGGATAGCAGAGTTGATGGATTCCGTTAGGTGTTTTAGTTTTCTGTATCAACAACATGAGGATGTCAAATCCAGCCAGGATGACAAAGACGAGTTAGACCTTCATTACTCTGAAATCATTTTTGAATTCTCCTCCGCCCAGTGTAAACAACAAAATTCGGGTTTTCAACACCAATTTTAAGTCAGTTAGTCAGTTCTTGTATGTGGGTAGAATCAGGCCGAACGCGTCACGAAAAAATTTCTATCAGGCATTAGAACTTTATCAACAGCCGTCTTCGCTGGCTCCATAGTGAAGGTTAGATGGCTGTCTCACCAGAAAGAATTAGAAACAAGAAACTCTAAGAATGAAGCAATCTAAAACTTTGTGCTCAACAAATGTTACGAAGAAAATGGATCAGAGACAGACAGTGCAGGGCTTTGAGTGGTACGTGAAGAGAAAATGGCGAGTTTAGCGTCCGAGAGTAAAATGGAAGCGATCATGTGAAGAGGAGATGAGAGCCGCTAGCTGAAGATGACTGCAAGGAATAGATGAGAGTGAAGATGTGTTGCTGAAGCCGTGTGTTCCAGCTGGAGCCCAAGGGTGTAGTAGTAGTGGCATTCCTCGAACATATTTGACAGATTTATCATTATTTTATGAACTAATAATGTTCGTTTCAGTTTTCAAGTACAGCAGGTTGAAGATGAGGCAGTAACTCATCGAAGAAGACATTGCGAAATGGTCGCGCTATGTCGTGAATTGGCAGAAGTTAGAATTCATGGGCTGGCCGTTGGATCGGGTCCCAGTGACTGCTGAATGGTCTACGAGCTCTCTAGGCGTGTAACCTGAAGGTCCTGGGTTCGAACCCTGTTGGTGAGTGGGCACTGCTGAAGAGTCCCAAACTAGGCTGACAAAACAGCTGGTTGTGCAGTACTCCCTGCAGGTTTTCCAGTGGTTCTCTAACTGATGTCAGCTCATGATGAAATCCTCCATCCAATCATTTCACTTTTGTCAAGTGAATGGCACTACTATGCGGAGTCCACTGGGACCTTTGTTACCTAATATGTGTACATGTATTGCATTGAAAATGTGTTTGGTGATTTGATCGCCAAAGTGCCTTCCCATAGGAGATACGCTGATGATATTATTGTAACAGGCAATAAGCATAGAAATGCAACTCGTCTATCAGATAGACTAAACTCTTTACAAAATCACTGAAGTTTTTTTATATGAAGAACAAAAGTTGGAACCAGCTGACATTCCTAAACATACTTCTGACTTGTAGAGTGGATGCTTCGATAAGATGATCGATTTATGGAAAGCCTACTTGAACAGGGTAGTATTTCAATTTTCACAGTTTATGTCCTTTACAATGTTAGACAGAATTGGTTAATTTTCAAAAGAATGAATAATGAAGAAAGAGTACTCTTTTTAATAAATTCACCACCAAGCTCTACAGTTATATGGACATAATAGTGAATGAACGAATTAGTACTATTAAAAACATTAATGCTTAAATAACATCGAATCAATAATATTGATAGATTACAGTTCAATAGCATCAACATAACATAACAATACGCTGAATGTCAGAAAAATTAGGAAAGATAATATTACAAACTCATGAATTTCTAGTCTCTACTGAAGGCCCGCCAGGGTAGTAGTAGGGGCTGGACTTGCTTCTTTTGAACACATAGCACTGGTTGTTTCACGTGAATTGCAATAGCCTCTGCTGTTTGGAGCCTGCGGTGCTTCGATGATTTTGGCAGTTTATTAGGCACCCGGTAGATTATAGAGAAGGATTGCTTATTCAAGAGGATTCAGCCTGTTTGTACAGGTGATGCTATAAGTGTAATGACAAGAAATACTGACGGATACACTTGTCGAAAGCGGATATCCTTTGGAGTTGGTTTTTTTAACCCATGTAGAGGTCAGTTAGTTTCAAAGTCTACAGTGTTTATCATTGCAAAGAAATGATGGCTACTTGAAATCAACTTGCAATGCGGAAATAAAAAAACAGGAATCTAAGACAGAGATTTAGTTCTGTCATCCGTAGAACTTTCTATTCAGCTCTGCTTATAATTATCGAA